ACTTGAATACCTTGATAGTAGTGAACCCATATGTAGAATAAATTGATTAATATGTTTAATTAATAAAATAAGATCTTCTCATACATCCGGAAGCATTCCAGCTTCTCAAACCAAGAAAAAATTTCCTTTCTGGGCTCCTCCTGAGAACCCAATGCAGTCAAACAAAGAAATAAAATCGACCGAGACAGTATGCAGGCATAACCCAGTTTCCGAGCTCTATCAAGGCAACCAAACACGACAACGCGGCCCTGCGGGGAATCTAATGAATCGTCTAAATAAGGAAGAAAAAGAAACTCATCATGTCCAAATTAACATCAAGCGCTAGCCATTATTCATGCCTTGACCTCATACTTGCGGCGGAACATGTCGTCCACCTCAGTGAGGTAGTAGGTGTTGGGGAAGAGCGTCTCCGTGTTACCGGAGGGCTTGAAGTTCTTCTTCAAGTGAGCTTGCTTACGCAGGGCACACATCTAGAAAGAGAATAGTTAGTAAAGTTAAACCGCAGATATCAAGGTGGAAACGAGTCCAGGGGGGAACTTTTGCTTACCTCAACATAGGCCTGGGGGGCCAAGACATTCCTAGCGTTGAGGCGGTTGTGAAGGTCGAGCTTCTCAGCCATGTAAGACACGTCACCAACAATCTTCGCGCTGAACATGGAAGCAGCGAGACCACTGCCGTAGGAGAAAAGTCCAATGCGCTTAGGCTGGCTGGGGTCGAAGGTGACGTTGCTGAGCAAGCTGGCCAGGCCGGCGTAGACGGTGGCGGTGTACATGTTACCACAGAGAGTGGCAACGTCAAGGCTGGGCTTCACACGCTCAGCGAAGCGCTTCTTGGTCAGACCCATGAAAGTCTTCTCGACGTTCTTGTCAGTGAGAGACTTGCTGTAGTCCAGATCGCGCAGCTCAGGGGCGACTTCAGCGAAAGCGGGGTGGGTGGGGTTCTCGAGGAAATCGTTGTAAAGCATACGGCCGTACGACTTCTGGACCAACTTGCAGGTAGGGGAGTGGAACAGAATATAGTCAAAGCGGTCCAAAGGAGTCTTGGATTCATCATGGGCCACACCGTTGGTTCCGTTCTGGGTCTTCTCCTTTAGCGTCTTCTCACGAGCGGCGTAGGTCTTGTAGCAAGCATCAACAGCCTCAGTGTAGCACTGAAGAGAGTGCTGACCATCAACAACGGGGTATTCGCTGGTGAGATCAGGCTTATAGAAATCGTAGGTGTGGGTGACATAAGAGCCACGAAGACCGGGCTCAAAGACAATAGGAGCATCAGGACCGATGAGCATGGCAACACAGCCAGCACCACCAGTAGGGCGAGCAGCACCCTCAGCATACAGGGCAATGTCACCACACACAACAACGGCATCTCTTCCATCCCAGGCGGAAGACTCGAGCCAGTTGATGCTGTTGAAGACAGCGTTGGTACCTCCGTAGCAAGCGTTGACGTTGTCAACCCCCTCGACGTTGAAGTTTCCACTCTCAGCAAAAAGCTGCATCAGAACGGACTTGACGGACTTGGACTTGTCCAGGAGAGTCTCAGTACCGACTTCGAGACGACCAACGGACTTAGGGTCGACGTTGTATTTGCGGAAGAGGGAGGAGAGAGTGGTCAGGGCGACAGAGTAGATATCTATAGTACTATACTTAGCGAGGGAGAACATATAACATTTTCTTTAGAAGAAAACAAGGTCAACATACCCTCACGATCATCACAGAAGCTCATTTTCGTCTGTCCCAGACCGATTGTGTACTTGCCCTCACTGACACCGTCGAACTTCTCCAGCTCTGTTTGTTCGACACACTGCGTAGCTTGTTAGTACGTCTTCTTCTTCTCTTCTCTCTTTCTCTCGATAACGTTGCTAATGGATCGCACATACTTGCTTAGGGAAATAGACCTCAATGGCCTTGACACCAATGTTCTGGGGACGAGCAGACATAGTGGCGGTGTAAAGGGGGGGGTAAAATTGTAGATAGTTGAAGTAAACAACGAAAGAGTGAGAAGGGTATTTGGTTATTAAGGTATAAAGAAAACGGTAGAAAACAAGAAGTAGAAGAAAAGAATGAGGAGGGAAGACAGCTGGGTAGGAGAACAGAAAGAAGGAGTAGGGAGGAGCATATATAAGAACCACAAGAGGGCTTCCGATCAGATTCCCTAGTGGTAAGTAACTTTTTTACACACTGCGAGGCAAAAATGACCGGATCCAGTTCCGGATTGGCTGGTGTGAGGGAAGTGGGTCCTTCGTTCCGTCGCTCGTGGTTGGGCGGGCCTGATTGTTCGGCCTGAGGCCCACACGCCTTACCGGAAATAGTTTAGCGGTACCTAGCTTAGTTGTGCATTGTGGTAAGAATGGTAACGGCCAAGTACGGATCAGCAGATTAATTTCCCCACTCTGGTGCACTCCTCCATCCAAAATCTATCTCCAGGATATAATGTACACGGTACTCTACATACTAGAACTCCTTTTGTCCTCAACCCATGAAAGAAATTTTGCAACTTGCATCAGCATTTGGGCAAAATGCTTGCCTGATTTCGAAATCGCCCCCCTCCCTTTTTTTTTGTTCTCACCGACTCTTGCACCACCCGAGTTTCTCCTAGTCAATCCTCGTTATCTTGTACATCCGGAGTATCATGATGGATGAAGTTGACGATAGTGGGCTTTGGAGTACCAAAGATCCATTTCCAAACACGCCCCTAAACTTGTCGTGTGGGTTACTCCCGTTTGTCCGTACCGAGTGTCCATTTTTCAATCCCGACCAGAGTCCATACAACGGTCTCGAAGGGCTCCGCCAAATTTCATTTCTCCTCATATAGCTGGACCCGAGGACATCATGCTAGGTACTAGTATCAAGGAACTTCCCTTTTCCTACATGATCCACCCACACTGTACCACGTAGTGCATAATACACTTTGTCTTCGTCAATTGGGCAATTAAAAGTCATTGGTCTCGGAACACTTCACTGGCTTGAAAATATCTGACAACGAAACTCGTATCGTTGTCCATAGTACCTTCTCCTGGTCCCGTGCACACGTCAACCCTGTCCAAGACAATAAACTTTGGATAGTAGCTCACACCTTTCAACCCAAAAATAAACAAAGATAAATCAATAATCAAAGCAAGAACGTGTTGCTATTCTTTCTGCATTCCATCTCTGTACACCCTGCGGGTCTCTTCTTTGTGGTTTTCTTGGTTTTTCCTTTCATTTTTCGATTACGATATCCACCCTACGGCAGTTTCAGCCTCGAAAGGGAAAAGATTCCAGGAACAATCAATCTTATCATGTGGATCCGTTTGATTGAAGCTGCCTGCAGTACTGTACTCCAAGCACCACAGCATCAGTACAAGGGCTCCGATATCGCACAAAAGGTGGGTAAAAAGCATTTCCACCAGGCATAATACATTCCTCAGGCAATTGTATGCCCATTTTGGCATATGCCTTCGCTTGCCTTTCTCTCGGAATAGCAATCTCATGGGGTCTGACAGCAACCTTTCTTGCGGGCCGCAATAACTGGTCCTCAAAAGGCGAATTTCAGCCTCTATGCACGAGAGTTCTAATTCGGTTACAGAAGAGGGGGGCTACTACTAGTACTAGCAATCCCGTATGTACTCCGGAGTAATAATGTAGCACGGGATCCATAGGCATGCAAGTAGGGACGGGTCCACCAAGTTTCGCGTGTTTCAGTTAGGCTCCGAACATTCACATACGTACTTGATTTCTTTCCGTCGGGTCTAGAGATAATGTGATCCGACTTGGCCGGCAGAAAGAGTTCTCGACAGTAGGCTGGTTTCCCTGCATCTCAATTCGGTCGGTGGGTCCTCCGTTCCAAACTGCACGGTGTTTAGTAGGCGTGATAACCGCAACCACCATACGGAGTACTAGACCTTGATATGCTGTCATTTACTCAATCTTTGCCACGGTAAATGTATCTGTTCTTGCCACCACTATTTTTTCCCCTGCTATGTTCTTCTATTTATCTGCCTTTTCTTATTTTGGTTGTGATCTAGTAAGACTGCTTAGGATTTATGGGAGAAAATGGCTAGCATGGATAAGAAAAGGCAAAACCATAGCGCTCGAGTCCACGCATGACTTCTAAGGACAACATTCATCGTTTCCAACACTCACAAGGTTATTTATTTCTGCACATATTGAGACCCTTTATAAGGTAACAAAGCACTGTCGGTATAACTGATAGAGGCCTTCATCAACCTTGCGTTTAGGTCTTTCAGACTGTTTGACGCATTCTCCATTCTCATCCAATCAAGGTTCAGATGGTGTGGTCTCGGGAAACGATTATGCTCATGATACCAGTTTTAGAGAAGCCTCAATATTTGTTCAGGAAGTTACCAAGTGCAAAGGTAGCTAATGGGGAGCTTGGAGAATGTTGAAGCCAACACCGAAAGAGCTGGCAGTTGTAATGTTGCGCAGCTCGACAGCCGGTGCTACCACAACGTTTTCCAACGCTACTACGGCAACATCTAAGGCAGAACTGAATCGTGTCTGCACACAAAGTGTCCGCGGAAGTACTTGAGCTTGCCGCTATGAGCTGACAAGACCACAGTGGCCCCTAACAGACGAGATACACCACCCTCGCTAGGAAAACTCGTCAAGTAGCCAAATCTTGCGCCTATTTGTCTAAGACACTAAATTCACTATTAGTCAAAGCAATATTCTCACGGCTAAACTATTACACGAGCCAGTGTCTGTAAAGCAAGGTTGGAGTTGGTAACACTTAGTGGTGATAAAGATGCGGCATACTACTTCCTTACTATTTCAAGCTTCCAGATAAAGACCCTTGCTTCTGATTTAACGTTGATCTTTATTCATTTCAGACGGCAGACATGCAGGGTGGTCTTGTACCATTTTGCATCGATCTCTTGGATCGAGGAGTCAGACACACTCCTTCTAACCGTGAATTGAGTAGCCAGGGAGCCTGGTTGCAGTATGATATTCATTCGGAGCGTATGGAGACAATATCTGACTGATACTGAAGCTCCTACGATATTGTGTCTAGATCAATGGGTCCATTAACAACCTCCTAGCTTATTGCTTAGTAACATTGGAGATATTCTTCCTCTGACCGTGGATTAGAATTATTCACTTGACCCTTCCTTCGACTTCTTCTGTTGCTGTTCTTCCCATTCTCGGTCTAGCATACCGAAGATTAACATGTCATGCCAACCTCCATCGTACCAGATAGCCTCTCTTTGCCGTCCTTCAAATTGAAATCCCAAGCGCTCATAAAGGCGTGTTGCACCTGGGTTATAGGAGAAAGATTCAACTGCGATGCGGTGCAAGCCAGCTTTCCGAAACCCCCAATCTACCACCCATTCAATCGCTTCGCTTCCGTAGCCATGATTCTGATAGGGCTTGGCAATATCAATACTGATAGAACTTTTGCGATGATGGTCGTGACCCGGTTCATCCTTTTTGAGAGCAATAATCCCGATCGGCGTCCAGATTTCCGGGCTACCCGTACCAGGCTGGCCATGGATATTCTGGATTGGTAGCAAAATTATAACTGCTAAAATTGCATCCTCCATGAGATGTTTCTTGTAGCCATTCAATGTATCACGCTTTGTTTGAGGTTTCAACAGTGTTGTGTTTGAGGTCGCGTACGACAAGGGATCTGACTGGATGGAGTGAATGAAATCGTCGTCTTCTGGTGTATCTTCAACGGCTCGATAAGCTAGTCGCTTGGACCGAAAAGGGTTGTTGAAGGTGGTGGCCATTATGGTATAATACGTATCTTCTTCTAAAATTCAGATGGAGGGTGGGATTTCAACTTCTGAAGAGAATCTGAGACTTAGCCGGAAAGAGTGCCCGCCACATGCAATCTAACGATATACTAATATGAACATTAGATATACAGATGATTCGACCCCACATAACAGTGGGTCAAGCCCTTGACAGAAAATATAGAAGATCAATATTCATGTACAGATAGGGCGACGTATCAAACGTAATGCCGTACATTAGTTCACCATGGACGATCCCCTCCTAGAGCAGTTTTGACCCCAAGTCCGGGGTACAAATTTACCTCCCAATGGCCATAAATGCTGTTAGAATTCATTGCTTATGACATACTCGATGGCTAGAGGAAGCCAGACTCATACAAAGTAAACAGAAGAACGAAACCGATCCAGAATTAAAATACCCAATGAATGAAGAAACGTTAGTATTGATATACTTGAGGTATAGATGTACGGTATGTACGGTATGGTAACCGTAATCAAGTAACGATAAACGGCCAGGGTCAGGTGAATCTGCTCTTCTTTCGCTCTCTCGCTCCTTCTCATTCAAAGAAGTTGAATTGGTTGGAGATTCTTATTTGCATCCATGGAACCTGCAAGGGGTCTGAAGCTCCACAGTCATTCCTGACAATGTATGTCTGGTACAATAAGAACTCAGGGCAAAGAAAAAAAAACCCTTCTGCCTGCTTACGATCGGAGTGCCGAGCGTGGGTCTCTCGTCTCGCCTGCGCCACGCTTTTCGATTGCATTCTGGGGAAAGGACAACGACGACGCCTCAGACTCCCTCCGACTCTATCTATCATTTACTAATTAAGTATCGACCCGTTAGAGTCCTCTCCTTTTCGTGGACCGCCATCCCTCCACGGTCCCTTTACCCCTGCTTTTCTTTATTCCCTTTCTCCTAGATCGTTTTTCTTCCAGTTCTTCCTGCCTTCTCTCCGATCTGGGAGCATGTTTGCGACTATCACTCCTTTTTCATCCAGATCATGATCCCGCTTAGTCCGGTATCTGTGACCCGGTCCAACTCGCACGGCTCCCCGGAGCCCCAGATCTTCCACCATGGGCAACGACAGTAAGTTCGAATACGAAGCCCTCCCTATTCCCTCCTATGAAGAAGCCGTTGGTGCCCGCCCGAGCTCCTCCCGATCCAACCTCGGCCCCGAAGCAAACGACGAATCCGAGAGGCAAGGTCTACTTCACAATGTCGACGATGTCACTGCCCGTGAAAGTGCCAGGCCTAGGCCTCATGGATACCAGCCTCCTACGGTCGAATCTGTCCGAGACAGCCTGGACGGTCTCGACTCCCCGGGCGCCGACTCGGAAAGGGGCTCGCTCGAAGAGTTGCAACGGGAATTACATGAGATGGACGTGGAGGACGGCGGTCAACAATCGTCCCAACGCTCTCGCCTATTACGTTCTCGATTCTCGAAGCGGTTCACTAGTTTGACGCGATCGCTATCTGCCATCCATCTTCCTATACGCCGGTTTCTACCGAGTTTCCGCTTTACCATAGATCTTAATGGCGCTCGTACCAACTTGAGAACACACGGGTGCATGATCATGTTGCGGTTATTTGGGCTATTCTTAGTGGTTTTAGTCGTCTACATCTTCTTCGTCTCAGATCTTTTTAGCATGAACTCGCGATTTATCATGGGCCAGTCTTATAGTGCGGCATCCGTGGAGAATTTCGTTCAGGGCCACGTCAATGAAACAAATATTGCGGAGAATTTGAGGAGGGTCACCAACTTTACTCATATGGCTGGTACAGAAGGAAGTTATGCGCTGGCGGAATGGGTGAAACAGGAGTTTAAAATCGCAGGATTGGATGAGATTGAAATGGAGGAATTCCAAGTGTATCTGAATTACCCCAGAGATGACGGAAGAAGAGTCGCTATTATCGACCCTCCTGATCTCTCCTGGGAGGCTACACTCGAAGAAACGAACGGCGAAACGCCTGTGTTCCATGGGCATTCCAAAACGGGAAATGTCACTGGCCCTATTATTTACGCCAATTACGGTTCTCGGGAAGACTTTCGGTATCTCGCTGATCAAGGCGTCACCGTAGAAGGCTCTATAGCACTCGTGAGGTATTACGGGTCAGAATCCGATCGAGCTTTGAAGATCAAAGCTGCTGAACTGGCCGGCGCGGTGGGATGCATCATCTACTCAGATCCCTCTGAGGATGGCTTTGTTCGAGGACCAGCCTATCCGGATGGGCGCTTTATGCCGGAAGATGGTGTCCAAAGAGGCGGCGTAAGCTTGATGTCATGGGTGGTGGGAGATGTTCTCTCCCCAGGTTTTGCGTCCACACCGGATGAAAAGAAAAGACTTAAACCAGAGGAAAGCCAAGGATTGACCAGCATTCCTAGCTTACCCATCGCCTGGCGCGATGCTCAGAGGCTCTTGCAGGTTATCAAGGGCCATGGCTCTCAGGTGCCTGCCAAATGGGTTGGTGGCGTGCCCAATGTAGATCAATGGTGGACCGGAGACGGAACGTCCCCCAAAGTCAACCTCATGAACTTACAAGACGAGGAGGAAAGGCAGCCAATTTACAATGTGTTCGGGAGAATCATCGGTTTGGAACAACCGGAGAAGAAGATCATTGTTGGAAATCACCGAGATTCATGGTGTCTAGGAAGTGCGGATCCGGGCAGTGGCACCGCCGTCTTCCTCGAGGTTGTGCGAGTCTTTGGCGAGCTCCGTACCTTTGGCTGGCGTCCTCTCCGCACTATTGAATTTGTCAGCTGGGATGCAGAGGAATATAACCTAATCGGGTCAACGGAACATGTGGAGAAAGAACTGGACGCGCTTCGTGACAATGCCTATGCTTACATGAACGTCGATGTTGGCGTGAGTGGTAATGAATTTGAAGCTTCGGGATGCCCGCTTTTCGAACGTGTCGTGACGCAGATTCTCGGACGCATATCAGACCCGGTAGCCAATGAAACTCTGAAGGAGATTTGGGAAAAGAAACAGAAGAAGCTCGGTCCGCTCGCCGCTGGAAGTGATTATGTGGCATTCCAGGATATCGCTGGAACCTCCAGTGTGGACTTCGGATTTGTTGGGGAGCCATATCCCTATCACAGTTGCTATGAGAACTGGGATTGGATGGTACGGTTCGGTGACCCCGGCTTCCAGTACCACAAAATTCTGGCTCAGTTCTGGGGATTGCTCATCCTTCAATTTGCGGATACTCCAGTCTTACCCTTTGATTTAGAAGTGTATGCCGATCATATTGCTTCATATGTTATCGATCTGGAAAAATATGCCAAGTCCCAAAACGTCCCGATTGTCAATGACGCTTCCAGTGGCAATAGCAACCGTGAGGTTACTGTCACTTTCAAGCCTTTGTATGATGCTGCGGCCAAGGTCAAGGATGATGCTGCGCAGTTCCAGCAATGGGCCCGTGTCTGGCACGACACAGTGTTGGGCACAGGGGGGTTCGAGAACAATGTTATTGCGGCTCAGCGGATGGATCATAATGCTCGAATGGCTCGTTTCGATACTCATCTTTTGGATGATAGGATAGATGGCGGGGTAAGGAGCCTTCATGTTTGGAGCAACGGATGTAAGCTAACCATTTCTCACCAGGTGCCAAATCGTACGCAGTTCAAACACGTCCTTTTCGGGCCTGAGCTATGGTCCGGATATGATGCAACATTTTTCCCTGCTATTCGAGACAGCATCGATTCGCGCAATTGGACAATGACCCAGGAATGGGTTGACCGGGTTTCCGACATCCTACGGACTGCAGGTGATAAACTTCTGCATGACTGAACCTTGCAGCTTGCCTACTCTTTTTACCTCCCACTTTATCAACACATCTCAATCTCCGACATCCTTGCCTCACCATTCGATACGAACGTCCACTGAATTTCTACCGCATCTAAAACACTGCTTAGATTTCCTTCCACTTGATTCAGCGCCTTCTGTATATGTCTACCTGTGTTCTTGTCTTGCTTGTTAGCCTCTATGGAGAAATGTAGCTCGAAGAGCCATTGTATCATCTACCATCTCTCTACTGATCTTGATCAAAAGATCTTTTGTTGGGTCTACTGGTACGTCCGGTAGGCATTTTGCTCCTTTCCGCACTATATATCCACTTAACCGTGCATAACTTCACCCTTTGTTATTATCTTACTGTATGTATCTTTCTGGTCTGATGGGTGACCATTCAATTATCCCATCTGGTGTTTATTTACCGGTGAAACGTCAGACTTTTCCCTGACTCGGAGCATTGGAGTAGTGGGTTCGGAATCAATAATTGTTAAATTTCCCTCAACGCCAACCAAGTCTTCCTGATATAGGAATTGATGTCTCCTAGGAGATGTTGGGCAGCGACCTATGACAGCGCGCCAGTCACTCTTATGAAGGAATTTAGCCGAACCCTAAACGGACAAGAACGGAATGGGGAACAAGACGCAAGGTTTAAAACTTTGATATGAAAGTCCTCTTTTATTCCATGATTATAAATTCTAAAAGGGCCCGCTACTATATACAAAAGAAGAATGAACACGATATCTCATAGATATATTACATAGGCAGTGTTGTTTGTTATACAACAGCTCCCACCACCCAGACAGCCGAACACCACGCTCTCACGGAAAAAAAAAAAAAAAAGACAGCACCTGGAAAAGCAGAACGTTTTCAAGAAAAAAAGAAAAGACAAAAACAGCAGCCGGAAAGAAACAGACGCAGCATATTTACATATTACGCGGATCTCTTTTCCAGCATCGATATTACGGCAGCCTGCTGCACCGGCTCATTTCCTGAAGCTTTCAACGCCCAGCGTTGGTGTTTCGACCATTCGATCGCAGGGTACGCCCTCATCGCGTCGTCGGGCGAAGAAACTGTCGCATTCTGAGACAATCTGGGCCCATTCTGCAAGAGCACGGCCCACGTACTTGCTCGCAACAAGTGGGTGGCTTATTGTCGGCTCCGGGGCCGGTTTACTAGAACCCTTCTCAGATTTCGAGCCGGTGTTGGTGTTCTTTGAGGTCTCCGTCTCCTTGGCTGACGGTGGGCCCTCTCGGGCGCCATCGCTCTCAGCTTCTTCATCGGACTCTATTTCAGATTCGTCGCCTGCGTCTGCAGATTTACGTAGCTGCAGGTGTAACTGGGCTGCCACAGGCAAACAGGGAGTGAAAAGGCGCTTGTTTTTGCTGGGCCATTGGGGCCGGTCCATCCACTCAAGCGAAAACTTGAAGGAGTAAGGCTGGTGTGCCGTCTTGGGTCGGGAGAGTTCTCCAGAGCTATTATTCGACCGGGAAATCTCATCCATGCGTTTGTCGGCAGACGCTACGTTATCAGACCCAGTTGTGTCCAATGACTCCTCGGAGCTATTGGAAGGCGATGCCTCGCCATTGGATTTCGAGGAAGAGCCACCGAACATGGCTTTCAAGAGATTCCATCTCTTTCTAGGTGGCTGCGTTTCAGAAGAGTTAGATTCTGATTTCGCGGAGCTGCTGCTTATAGAGGCCGCGCTCTGCTCGGGGGGTGCCGCAGGGACGACGCGGTCAAAGGAGACAAAAAGACTAGGTGGCGTGAAATGGTTATCACACCGGATGATAATGATTCTGCGCCCGGGTGCTGGCGTACAGGGCGCTGAAGATAGCGGTACCGTAAGTTCCTTTTCAGCTTTTGCTTGAAACGTCAGGTAATATTCCCAAAGACTTTGTAATCGGCTCCCAAGCGCTTCATAAATTGTTCTACATCAGCTGGATTAGTATCATCCCCTTCTCACATCGACATCCCTGAGAGTCTATGCACTTACGTGTCGAGTGGTGACGGGTCACCATTAAATCTACCCAATCTCCAACAAAGAAGACGATGAAAGTAGGCACGAACCATAGGACTCCAGTGGCAGAAGTAGTGATAAAATAACGACTCTTTCAGAAGGAACTCCAGGCAAAGGTCTGCCTTCCTCTCCTCCGAAGCGGTCCATGTGTTCCAAACGCAGAAGAGAAAGGAAAACACGCGGACTTCAGTGAGAGAGTTATGGCTTTGCATCATCCGATCGCAAACTTCAAGCCAGAATTTCCAGTCAAACAAGTCTGACTTCACCGACTGGGAATATCGTGTTATTATGGGAATGACTTCTTCAACGAAGTCGCAAAGTAGAAAGCAGGCATTATGATCGAACAACGAAGTCTTTCCAGCGGCGGTTTTCATAACCATAGCAAATGACTCGGCATATAACAGTCGGGCATGATCTGGCTCAACGGAAGATTCAGAGAGAAAATCGCGTAATAATATAATTAAACGGTTTTCGGCCATCGATCGATGACTGTTTGCAGCTCCCAAAGGGAGAGCCGAGACCGAAGCATCAGCACCTTCGATGAAATCATCGAACGTGATTGCGGCAGCAGTATGTGAGTTTGTTGGCGCCTGGGGGACTGACTGTTTATAAAGTGTGTCCTCCAGAACGACAAGAAGTTGTGCGTGTATTGGCAATAAGCCTGGCGCCAAGACACGCTTGTCTTTATCGATGTCTGCAGGCAACGCATCAGCGTAGAGGATGTGTATATATTTAACAAATACAAAGAACAAGTCGCTATCACGGCCACTCCATCGTGAAACCCAAGGGCTCTGCCACCGAATCTGAGCCGTGCTTAAAGGAACATCGGGCTTTCGGCGGAGATAGCGAACTAATGGCGTGTGGCCATGGAAGGATAATGAGCGAAGAGCCGCCGGGAAGTTCAGGGCCAGGTCTTGTGTAAATGCGCGCGTACTGCCACTGCCATCTACATTCGACTGGGTAAGAACCCGCCGGAAGATGTTGGGCGGCGTGTTCCACAGCCGAACAAGAATGTCTGCCACGCCTGGGCAAAAGAAAAACGCATAGGCACAGGCTTTTCCGCAAAAGGCCACCAAGCTAGCCGGAGCGTGTCTCATGGACATCCGTTCTACCACAAAAGCCATCTGAGACAGTAAATTTTGCGTGAAAATGTTCCTTATGTTATGATGAATCGATTCGACAAGAAAATCTGAGCTTCCGGACGAGCCCTCTGAACTTTCTGAGATCGAGGTTGCAACATGTTGTAGGGGCTTCGGTGAATTTTCATCGGATGGCAGCGATGGGAAAGGAATCCTCCATTCAGGCCGAGTCATGATTCCGACAACAGCTTCTAGATACACCGGCCTGTCAGTGCCTGATATAGATTGATTGTGCTTCCCATTGAGCATCTCCAGCAATCCTATCCACCACTTGTTGAGGATATTAACTCGACGATCCAGGTCTTCCGGCCTCAATAACTTATAAGACGGGTGAGAATGATTACGGTTGAGGAAAGGTAGAAGCGAAGAGCGGATGACGTTGGCCTTCAAGGCACTGGATTTGGATTGAAATCTGTGACAGTTAGTCGCCTGGATTCGTGCAATTTTCCGCCTACCCAGCGTCCCAGCAACACTCACTTTTGAAAATCGGCCTCGAGGCCACGAAAAACACCCCAGAGTTCATCCTTCTTACGAGGGAAGTCTATGCCGGCAGAAGCAACCGCTGTCCTGGGCATTGGGGGAAGGACCGGAGTTGTCACATTGAGCGACGATGTAAGCTTTTCCAACGAGTTCTTAGCCGTTAGCGTGAAAGGCGATGGAGCATTACTATTGGGGGTCGTGGGACTATCCGCTTGGCTTTGTGTTACCACCGCTACCATCGGCCGCCGAGGCCGTTTGTTCAGAATTGTTCGCTTGCGCGTAGGAACGGCGGGATCGAATTCTGTCACTGTGTCCAGCGGAGTGAGACCCTTGGATTGTGATGCTGGCGAATTTGATGGGGACTGCTCCTCCGCACGCAATGTCCGCCCCCTCGAGCCCTTACCGGGCGGCGGCGAAGGAGATCTGCTAGGGGTGCTTGACTTCCATGGTTTGCGGGCGAGGTTGACCAGTCTTCCGGACATAGAACGGGCTTTAGAGGGGCGCGCCACAGGCTCTGGAGCCTTTGTCTCCGGGACTTTCGTCGTCTCTGGGGCTTTCGGGGGAGCTCCGGAGAGCTCCGTGGTAGCAGGATCGGTCACATCTTCGGTAGAAACACTAAATCGAGAGACTGTAATGGTCGATTTGTCCTTGTTCCGGAGTGAGGTTCGCCTTAGGATGTCTTTCCCCGCTGCGACATCCTCCTTGGACGGGGATGAGGAATCCTTCGGGTAGGTCAGGTCTGAGAATGTCCTCCGGAGAGTGGGAGAGGCGGATTCCGAAACGACGAGATCGGGGAGGTGGTTGTAACTGGCGGAATGGGGCAGCAAGACATGTTCACCATCTCGATGATTGTTTGTTGTCTCGAGAGAAAGAGGAGACATGGTCAAAAGTAACCAAAGGTGACTAAAGGTCCAAGACAAGGGAGAGTCCTGGAGAGATGCACATCTCCCCCAATCGGGAGTGGATCGTAATTACTGTTAGTGAGGGAGACCAGCTCCTCCATATATTATAGACCCAGGTCAAAGGGTATCAAAGCATGTGCGAGAGGGCGCCCATGAATTGCATCGAAAGGGCGGTATTGTCGCAACGGGATCGCAGTGTAGTAAATGTACAAATCGCCGTGCAGGCAGAAGTTATTGCAAGTGACCACGTTCAACGAATGAGGCGCAAGTCCCGCAGAGGGATTGAAGCTGACAATTTCGCTAAGGATCCAAATTGTAGAGTAGGAAGGGTTCACAGTATATCTGACTAGGGTCCCTCGTTAGTCGATATTGCAACGAATGGAGAAGAGCGCGGGCGGTTGATCGACGGACGGTAGAATTTCCGAAAGTAGAGTTGGAGTAGAGCGGAGAATTGTTTGGGGTCTTTTTTCTTTTCTTTTATGGTGGTATGAAACGAATGACAAAGTAGCAGGGTTTGACCACACTTGTCGATTCTTCTCTTCTTCTATATTATCAAAATGTTGATTGAAAAGGTAAAAAGAAATGGTCAAGCAGAAAAGAGAGAGAGACAGAAAGAAAGGGAGGCAAACAAACCGACGGGGAGCGGAGGAGAAGGGAGCCGCAGGGAAAGATTTAATGGGTTTCTTTCTTTCTTTTTTTTTTTTTTTTTTTTTTGGAATACTAATGGAACCATTTAATACTTACTGTCTAGTTTGGTTTCCACCTCTCCCGTACCATTCAAATCCAGGGTCCGAGTTTCGTGCGAATATGAGGTAATGCGCGGGCAACAATTTATCTCTGGGAGATAATAAGGGAGACCAATTCAATCCTTCTCTTTTGCGTTAACCTCACCCTTTCGTCAATCACTCTCTTCTTGATTTTATATTATATCTGTGCATTTGTTTTTTGAGTTACTGTTGTCCGTCATACATACATGTCCGAGTACGTATGCATCCACGTAGGTATGTACAGAAACGTACCGACAGGTATCGTTCAGGACAAGTCGTCTCTCATACTCCTTCCAGGTTGGGGTATTTTTTAGTATTCGGAATCTGAGCGACCCGACCCACGGTTTCACTAAAGACCAAATCAAATCTTATTGACTGAATCTCGTTTAAACCTGGCAGTGCCCTTTTTGTTTTCTTTTTTAATTTTTAACCTTTTTTTTTTTCTTTTTCTTTTTTTTTACTTTTGCTCTTTGACTCTCGGTTTAATTTTCCATCACGATTGTGTTTACTAGTCGTGCCATGGATGGTCTAAGCCCCATCTGCAAGGCTGGAGGTAAATCATTGAATAGTCCAGCTTACTATCTATCTATGTAAATACCACTAACTAACAGATCAAAACACAAATGATTATGAGTTTCTGAGAAGACAATTCAGCAGTAAAATCATTGAATTACTGATAGGTCTCTTTTAGTCCACTGTATGGCCTGAGCACCTGGAAGTATGAAGGTAAGATAGAACCGATAGGTATTGTACTGTACTGAACTGTACTGAACTGTACCTTTTCTGAATACTTTACCACTAAGATTCGACATATCCCATTCATTTGCGCTTGTATGCACGTCCAGCGAAGACTTGCAGATAACTAACAATTGCGTTGGTCCGTCAACCTTTTTCTTGGAATCTTACGAATAAGCGACTCATCTATGGAAAGCCAAAGAAATCGGATTAGGACAGCCTCTTTTCTGGTTTATGTATGTACTTGAAATGTTAAGCACCCCCTTTTCTTTGAGTTAGCAGGGTGCGAATCCCACTTAGCATCATTGTTATACACCAGGTAAATACAAAAAAAAAAGGGGGGGGGGCACAGGAGATTATGAAGTAACAACCCCATTATTCAATTTGATAAGAGTATTATGGTAACTAATGGACACCGCCTTTGCCTTACGGGGTCTCTTCTTCTGTCACTTAATATCTCGGCTTTCTGATATATCATTCTTGTAGGTACATGACTGTACATACATGCATGTAGTATACAATGAGCACATGTACACTTACCTCGACGAAACAGCAGATTAGGTACACGTTGTTTCCATAAATCTCCTCAGGTATAGCTGCCAAATATTACACCAGGCCACTAAAGTCAATAAAGTAAAGAACTATTGAAGGATAAAAGGGATCTGGACTGTCTAGTGGCGAATCGCTTAGGATTCCTCCAGGAATGTTGTACAACTAATCACAGTTGGGCAACCTTCGGATGTCTCCCAGACGAGGGTCATTCTTTATGTCATTGTCCGACCAACAGCATATGGGAATCTGACGATCTCTCGGCAGCACCGTAATCCTTTACTCCGGATATGTTTTTTTTTTTTTTTCTCGGACCCCGTAAATAGTCGAAGGACAGGGAAGTGTGGCCTCGATATCAACTACTAGTCCCACTTTCCATTGATCGACTATGCAGTGTGCACGCAATCTTAGCCCATCCATTTGAAGGATAGACTACCGAGCCACCGTTATCGTGTTCTGGGCAGTGGTTACAGATACACCTGGCCAGCGGGTCAATTCAGACACTTAAAAAAGATGCACGGAGAAGGCTGGGGCTGGGGAAGGCTGGGGAAGGGCAATGGATAGTCTGGCGGTCTGACGTGATGCGATCTGGAGCTGTCATATCTCCCTTTCTCCATCCAGGTGGAAAGTATCCCTAACGCATGACGCTCTGCATTCAACGAACTGTAGGTCTGTAACTCAATGACGATATCTTGTTTCGTTTTTTTCCTTTTTTTTTTTTTTTTTTTCTTTCCGAGCATCGGACACGTTATCGATCGTTGTTTCCACGGTGTGCTTGTTTGTGTCCCCTATATACTCCCTAGTAAAGGTAAATTTTATATATAGAATCGATAGGCGAGAAGCTCGATCATTCACGGCCATATGATATACCGTCGGATATAGCCCTTCATGGCTGGCTGGCTGGCTGGCTTTTCACGAGTTGCACAATTAAACCACCATTGCAGGTTGTATCAACATCTACCTGATTCATATCCGGTTTGAAGTCGCTATTGCGTGTTCAACAATGCATCATCAGTCAAACTTTGAAGTTGCAGTTAGATACCTGCAAGTAACAATACCCCGGTCACACGGTCAGCCGAGTATTCGGAGGCCAACAATTACACCAGTTCATCTCATACCTAGCAAAAGTTCAAGAAGGGTTACAAAAGACACAGAACATCGAAGATAATGATAATAATAACAACAATAAATGCGGAAAATAGGACCATGCTGGTTGATTAAGAAAAGGAAAAATTCATATGCTCCAAGTAGGTTTAATTTACAAAGTTCATTCAGGACTCAACAACAGGAAGCATATTCTGTTCTCATCCCATTGCCCTTAGGCCCCGATTTTCCCAGACCTTGTCATAGAAACAATAAACCTAATGGGCAGCGGGAGCCTCCTCCTCATCCTCCTCGAACCAGCTCTCCTCAGCGGGAGCAGCCTCACCAGCGGCGGCCTGGCCCTCAACTTCAACCTCCTGGGTCTCGTAGGACTTCAATTCATTGGCGAGGTTGGCCTCCTCGGGGGACTTGGGGGCAGCGGGAACGCTGAACTTCTGGACGTGAGCTTCGGCGTCACCGGGCTTGACGGGAGAGGGCTTGAAAGCACGGAGTTCACGGAGGTAGAGGTCCTGAACGGGGTCGGCTGTTACAAGGTTAGATTTTGGCTTGTGGGAGATGGTGATACTACTTCGCCCGTCGTTTCACCGGATCGAGCTAGCCAGTCAAAGAAAAGGGGTCACATACCCTGACGAACAGCGGAGGTCAGGAAAGTGCGGCGAGAAGCCGAAGAAACCTGTTGCCGAGAGACGCGGGCGAGGAGAGAGCGCTATGGAAGGGTCAACAACCTCCACTTAGGTGAAAAGTGAGTAAACAAAAGAGGAATCAGTATAAACTTACAGACGCTCTGAGAGACTGGGACATCATCGCGGCGGGGAGGTGGTAAATGAGGGGAACCTGGGGTGGCTTGCGAAGACAAGTGATGGCTTTCGTCCGTGAATCCGATGTTGGAAGTTCGACGTTTCTTCGGGAGACATCGGCTTGGCAGCTGACTCAGCCGTGCGGCTCTTCCCAGCATCGACTGCCGACATCTTTTAGTCAGATACTCGCTTTGCCTCTTTCTCACTCTTTCTTTCTCTCTTTTCAACCCCTCACGAAAGTCGCATCTCCGTCTTTCGCTTTACACGGCTCTCTCCCCCTAGGAGCTCGGTACTCGACGTTGCTCTGCTCGTCTCGATCGAACGATCTCACTTGCAGCGGCTACCTGTCAGGTTCCACGACCCTCTTTCGTGAGACATTTCTCACGGAGACCTTGACTGGTTTATCGCGGTCGGACAAGCCTGGCTTCGAGGCTTTGAGGATTCTAGGACGCCAAAGTAGGAGATCTTTCTACTCGTTTATTAAATCCGCGAGGTTACTTTACTCTGGGGGACTGTTGCAGAATCAGGAGTGGAGGGCTTCCTGGAAAGGTATAGCATTTAATTGAGAATCTGGTCCCTTTGAGATTTAGGAGAGATGGCTGTGAATTCTCAACAACATGTCCTAAATTTCACTTGGGGGCCTTAAAGCTAACGTGGTTACGAAGGCAGTGACGCAGAAACGTGGCTTGCATACTAGTCAGCGATTTGCGCCCCTGTCATTCTCTCCTTTTCTGGTACATTCGAAGACGAGTGTTATTTTGATCGTATTTTTGTCGGAATACAGCCGCCAACCTGTATTCACCACTCTTCGTTCGCTTTTGTGCTCGCAAACATAATCTCCCTATCTCTGCCAAAAGGTTAGCGAAACGCCGACGAGAACGTATCGAGTCCGCTCTACAGTCTCGCAAAATGGCCACCGCTCCACCCCAAGCCAGACCTGAACCAGGTCAGTGGAAAAAGAACCTTTCGCATCATCTTATCTGTCCCGAGTGCAAGGAGGTCCCGCCCAATCTGGAGTTTCCCGGGTCGCATGAAACCGTATGCGGGTCTTGTGGTTTAGTGCTCGCTGATCGGGAAATTGACATGCATTCTGAATGGCGTACTTTCTCCAACGATGATCAGAACAACGATGACCCATCTCGTGTCGGAGACGCTTCAAACCCTTTGCTTAACGGTGACCAACTGGAGACCCAAATTGCAAGTGGAGGCTCTGGCCGTGTTCGTGACCTGTATCGTGCTCAGAACAAGCAGTCGAGCGAGAAGGCGAACAAGTCTCTTCTGGCTGCTTACAAAGAGATCGGTGCTTTATGCGATGGATTTAGCATTCAGAAGAATGTCGCCGATACCGCCAAATATCTTTTCAAGATAGTCGATGATGCGAAGGCCTTCAAAGGGAAGTCCCAAGATGTGATCATTGCGGGTTGTATTTTCATTGCTTGCCGTCAATGCAAGGTACCCCGTACCTTCACCGAAATCTTCGCTGTCACAAAAGTGTCGAGGAAGGAAATTGGGCGAATCTACAAGGCGCTGGAGAAGTTTTTCACGGCACAAAACCTCGAAAGAAACAACGCCGTAGTGTCGAACGGTGGAGTCCCAGATCCCAACGACACTTACACCGCAACAACTTCCACCAAACCCAGCGACCTGTGCAACCGTTTCTGCAATCTACTGGATTTGCCCTTCCAAGTTACCAGTGTATCTTCTGCACTTTCTGACCGTGTCACAACCATGGGAGACCTGGCCGGCCGATCTCCTCTGTCCATCGTTGCGGCTTGTATCTACATGGCCTCGTATCTGATGGGGCACGGCAAAACTGCCAAAGAAATCAGTCAGGTCGCCCATGTCAGCGACGGAACTATCCGCGGTGCCTACAAACAGCTCTACGCGGAGAGGGAGCGCCTGATTGACCCGGAATGGATTAAGGACGGAAAGGGCGATCTGAAGAACCTACCCGCCAGTTGAATAGGCCTTCTATACTCTCCCCACATAGTGCTTGGGAGTGAAAAATTGCTTTTTATTAGATGATGCCAAGCCCCTAACAATACCATGATACCCAATCAAAGAAGAAATTTAATATAAGAACCGGGGGGGGGGCAGAATGGGAAGACACCAATCCCGTCCTACCTACTGCTCACCCTAAGTGTTCTGCTGTTCTGATATGATTGGATACTTTCATATATCGCGATGCTTCCTTCTGTCAATCCAAGTTTCCACTCCTAGTAGTATCAAAATTGCAAACCCGTGTTTGCCTGGTTTGCGTTAGGTATGTTAGCTACCCTTCCAGTGCCCCCTTTCATTCCTGTTATTCTTTCTATCTTCATATTCTGCTCAGCACTTGATCTTGATGTCAGATAAGAGAGTGCCCTTATATATAGCTTTTGTTTCTTAACCAGGAAAAACACAAATAGGACAATTGATTGGGAAACTTATGCGTCAAGTACTCAATAAGTGATATCGTAGCTGTATGTATCACTACTACTATTAGCACGGCGTATATTGCCAATGAGATATACAAACTGTACTCGTTACCTAAGGTGGGATTACGTCCAATGAAGGACATGGAAGATTCTTGGTCAGTAAATTCTATGACTGCTACACCGTGACAGGCGGTAGTATGTCTTTTACTGGCTGATAAAAAAAAAAGAACGAGAGAGGCAGACAACAAAGGCAACGCAAAACGACTACACTTCAGGAACTTTCCTTAGTTACCCTCCGAGAGCCGCTTTCCATCGGCTGTCGCAGCCGCAGCTTCAGCAACGTCCTCTACTCCTGATTCGGCTGATGAGGTGCTCGGCGTTTTACCGACATCGGTTTCGGCAGATACCGCCTCAGAGGATGCCTCTAGGTCATCTCGCTTGGCTGTAGGTACCACAGCAGGACCCTCACCATCGAGGGAACTCGTTACTGTGTGGGCTGCTTCTGTAAATGTTGATGGCTGGGTCTCAGCTGGGGTTGAGTCGCTCGATGATACAGGATCCTCTTTGGGGGATACTGTTGGTTGAGGATCAGCCGACTCGCCGGCAGTGTTCTTCGCTATCGGGGGAGCCATGGTGTTGTTTTCTGACGATGTCGTGACAGGAGCCGCGACTTCGTTCTTATCCACCTGTTTTTCACTACCAACAACCAAGTTACCAGCCTCATTAACCTCCCAAACATTCCAGGTTTCAGTGATCCTGACTTCTGAGATCGTCGGCAACTTCGCGGCCACATTTTCGGCGGCCGGTCTCCTCCGTGCGGGCCCACGGGCCCTTCCCTTACGAGCATCACTTAGAGGGGCTTTTTCTGCCGGAGGCTCCTCTGCTTTCTTCTCTTGAGGCTTCTGCGGCGCTTGAGGGCCCAGCTGCAAACGGGAATTCAGGTCTGACAAAAATCCTGCCTTCAAAGCAGCAATCTTGCTACCTCCCGGACGGGCCGGTACTGCTGGCTTCGGTTTGGCCGCAGCATCTTTCGACTCTCCGCCATTTCCGGGGAACACGTGCTTAGCTGACCGGGTCGGGACTTGAGGCTTGGGGCGGTCAGGAATTGAAGGTGGTTGTCGTTTTTCAGTAGGCGAGGTGATTGGCTTTGTAGAAGCATCTACTGGGGGGGCCTGTTGAGGACGCTTCTGGGGTCGAGCTGGAATGTTAGGTTTCGCCGGCACATCTGGGCTCTTGACCTCTCTCTCTTCTGCTGGTTCTACTGTGGTTACCAGCTTTTGGCTTTCCGGAGCATCTTCCCAGATGTCCCTGCTAGGAAAACGCTGCTTGGCAATGTCTGGGCGTGAAACAGACTTCTCATCGCGATGCTCTTCCGATTGCAGAATCTGTGACGCAACCTTGTGTGGGTCAACGCGGTTTGCCTGACTTCTACGGAAGGACTCCTGCTCCGGGGTCTCAAAGTTTTCGTTCTTAGGAACATCCGGTGTAGACACCGTAGCATGCAATTGCAAGCTATTCGGCGAATCCTCCCAAATGTCTTGACTAGGGAACCGGTGCTTGAGCATATCTGGTCGCTGTTTGAAGCGGTCATTGGTCGAAAGAGGTTTTTTCTCTGCATTATCATCTTCCGGGAACAGAGGCTCATATTCTTCAACATCCTCGAGTGGGGTGTGTGTCTCTTCCCGTTCGTCGCGCGAATTGTACCTTGCCAGAGTTGGTAGGCTATTGCGGTGGCTCGCAGTTCTGCTGTTCGAGCGACTATGGCTGACGCTTGGGGTGTGACTCCTATCGACTTCCATACTTTCCCTTCTGTCGAATGTGGGGGACACGGCGGGGTGTTGGAAAGCGGATTCTGGGCGCACCTCATCAGCAGCCAAAATGGGCTCATCTTCATCTCCCTCACCCTCCGCAGGCTTGCCAGAGAGTTCATCGGGACCTGGAGTTTGAGCGAAGCCATCAGGATGGTGTAGATGATGGTATGGTTCGTCAACATGTATCACCCCTGGTTCTTCTGACTTGTGAGCGGTGTCTTTAGAGGCCACAGTTTGTTGCTGGTCCTCAGTCTCGGCCGAAGGCACGCTCTCCCTGCGCAAAGGTGACTCAGCAACAAGGCGGGAGCCACGGCGCGATTCAGGCGGCGGTGATGATAGACGGTGAGTGTACTCGTCAGCGGCAATGTAACCAACCTCCTCTTCTGGGGTTCCAATTACAGCAGGTGATGTGCCTAAATTTATTCACTGGTTAGCCAACGTCGCATGGTCAATTCCAGTCCCATTTAAGCAACTCACCAAGTCCACTTCCGGTCACAGCAGAGCCCCGTACGATCTTATTCAGATCATCACTACTCAATGCCCAGTCTGGTCGTGGCGATCCAACTCCGGGGCCATATTGACCCTGCTCTTCCTTGACGTATTCTTCAGGGTGCTTTTCATACCAGGCCTTTTCGAACTTGTCATTGGGCTGTACGCCATGGCCGTGAAGACCGTAGCTTCCGGGCGGAAGAGAAGCCTCACGACCACTCCGAGTTCGGTTATGGCTGCGGCCAGAGCGCTGGCCCGAGTTTTGCTCTAGATGGTATGGACTTGGGGAAGGGGCTTGTACATCACCAGCATTAGGGTACATTGGAACCCTAATCCCATGCTCATCGCCATTCATAGACAGTCGTCGATCAATGGAAGTCGAAGAGTCCGCACGCGAGTAACTTGTTCGAGACTGTAACGAGCGAGTTGGTCGTTCATGATCATCAGGAGTGGGGGACGATGTCCCACCAAGGCCTGCTGCTGCAGCCTGACGAGAATCTGTACGTGTGACAGCTTGCACCTTGGCCTTGGCGCTGGAAGAAGGTAATGAAGGCCTTGGTGCATGGAGCTTCAGATCACTGCCCACGTTGCGCATCTCTGCGGGACTCGAATGATGGCTCTCGGAGACATCGCCCATATTCAAAGCTTCGTATTCATTGCCCTCTTCACCAAGTGAAGGTATCGTCACACTCGGGGGTCGCTGTGGCACATCTTGGGAAACGGTGCGACTCAAGCTCGAGCCATTGGGTGGCTCGTTCAAGGGAGACGGGGCGTAGCTATCTCGAAGAGGAGACACGGAGCGGTCAAAGCGACGAGTGGGACGCGGTGGGATCTTGGGCACGTCTGCGGGTGCAAGGCCCTGCTGGTTAGGCGACCTTGACGGTCGAGGGGGGATGGCGGGTGCAGTGTGTGTTGTCATGGCGGATGGAACCTAGTAATCTGAGCAGGCGTAGACTAGGAGATGCACTGCTGATAATGTTAGCCTCCTTCAGTACCAGGCTGAGAAGGTTCCTCGGTCACATGGGCATTTTCAGGGTGTAAGTGAGGGGCAATTCGGCGCAAGTGAAGCTACAGCAAGCACGACAGCTTGTGCTGTATACACAGTTAAGGCCAATTGAAAGAGGAAGGGAAATAGTCAATTTCCGAGCCCCCTATCTCTCTTCGGTAGAAGTTGAGCTGGAAGGAATCTCCTATTGGAAAAAGAGGACATCTTTGGTGCACCAGTCGTAATCTGAGATAGTAGTAGATAAGATGGGTGTATGCAAAGCTGATAGCATTCTTGGCCAATCCGCCCAAAAGTCTTGAAGATAATCTTGCATTCCTTTGTATATTCTGGCAAGGAAAATGGAATAATGTGCTGCACAAAAGAAAAACAAAGGGGGGGAAAGCAAACAAAAGGGGATGGGCGAGATTACTCACCAATGTTGCGATAACAAGAAGCAAGCACAACGGGGATTGTAGAGCTGCCTGGATATAAACGGACGGCGAGGTAAAGGCAATTGAGTGATTAAACGGGATTAAAAGTTTCCCGGTAAGAAATTCTTATGGGAACAGAAGGTCAAGGATGAGAGTATGCACAATAGAAAATGGCGATGAATGAAGAAAAATGGAGCAAAAGCAATGCCGGAGGTTCTCAAGACGCAACAGGAGCAGAGATGATGTATGACTACCAGTTCCCTTTGCCGCAAAGTGGCCGTAAACCCAGTCTAACCACTTTCTTCCTGCCACGGCCCACCGCCCCGTCGCGTGACGCTCTCTGACGCTATCAGACTTGCTCCTTAAATGGTACGGAAACCGTACGGTAACCATCCATGGACTGTGAGCCAACGAGCGTCAATCGTTGCAATTACAGACTCAGCTTGCTTCCTCGCGAGGTTTAGTTGGTCCCGCTTGAAAGTTCTTTTTTTCAGGTCGATTTAAGGGCGTTTCTCTTTTTACTCCGTACTGACCTTGTATTTTTCTTTTCTAGATTATATCCCCTTTTCTACTGGGAAGAGGTTATTTGTCCTTTTCTCCTATTTACAAAGTTGAGCGAGGTATTATCGAAGTATCGACACTAGATGAAAATAGGCATAGCCTTCATATTGTCTACTAATAGTGATCTGCTGTACTCAGTATATCTTGTATAGCCCGACCTTACCAGTGACCAAATAAAACAAGTACAGGTAGGTAACATTCAGTGACACCTCCTTTGGGTTCCGGTTATTCCTAGATTATCTGCCAATGAGAGCCGAATCTCCTGAGGAGAAGGGAGATGCATGTCTGCAGCTACCACGACAGATCCTTTTTTTTTTTTGCCTTCTTCATTGAGGCATTTTTTTTTTTTTTTTTGGCTCTAGTATGCATTGTTCCACCTTCTAAATGTAAGTATGCACAGTACCAAGGTAGCAAGTTAAGTAGACCATAATTTAAAAATTTAGTGTTTCCGATAGCTACAGTTACATGAGCATGAATTAAGAACTCCCCTGGAAGCCTTAAAATCACTCATATTAAAAAATAATCTAGATTATCCATGTTTTGGCAGTACCAGAAAAAAGGTCTCTTCCATAAACATCCGATTGTTACTTCAATCATCCCCTTCATTCATTGTAAAATTCCCTCTGTAGAACGACTCCTTAAACCCCGACAGTTGTCTTGGGCTGGGCTATGGATCACACCCAGTGTATTAATAGTCACCGCGCCACGACCCTGAGTTGTGATCAGTGATACAGACCCGGTAATATTCTACCTTATCTCTGTACAGAGCAGTAGCTTCGACTTGATTAAAATTCCCCTAGCTGAGAGTGGCCGTAGTGCCCCTTGTGTGGCTGTGCGGAATATCCGCATATGGTCTTATTTACAGGTCTTGATCGACTCCACGTACAGGGCCATACAAGAATGCATATATTAGTAGTAGTACCCAATCCTACCTGCAGACATGTACTTAGTAGACTAACTAACAGGTTTCGGCATTTTGAAAAAGAAAGGGAAGAGAAGAGAGGCATGACATTGGAGACCCGACGGGTAGCTATCATCCAAAGTAATATCGGGACCTGTGAAATACAGGCTTTGTCCCGTAACCTTCTTCTCCATCGACTCAACAAAAGACCCTATAGCTGTTTTATATGCTTATAAGTCATAGCATTCAAATGGCTAATAATTATAGGACCCATAGAAGTTATATATTCTTAGATCTCTACTATAATAAAGACAAAAAAGTAATATCTTCACACGGGATTAATACAGGCCTCTTGATATCTACTTAGGTACAAGTCAAGTGCTCTATTGAGCTATAGAGGTGTATTTATATGGGAAGGAGTCCGAAGGACATATATCTCTGAGTCTAAGACCTATCAAGCTCGAGTTGAAGAAATGGTGTGTATACAGTGCCGGCAGCTCAAAATCTTTTCTTTTTTCTTAAAAGAATCTATAAAGAAGGATGCATGCTTCTAAGTTCTAAAAGTCATTATGTACATACAATATTACCACAATAAATTTACAAAACCTCCGGTGCTAGTACCGTGGTTTGTTTACTTTCCACAACATATATTTTTAAAAATAGTATGTCAGCACTCCGTAATAGAACCAGAGAATCTAATAAAAGCCAAGCCTATCGCACTCTAGGGTACCTACGTTTACATCAATAATCATGAACTAAGGAGCTTCATATATAATATCCACCTTTTGATAGCAGTCTCAGTAACATTGTTTTTACTTACCTCAGTGAGGACCAAAGCCTCCAAGTGAGGCAGGATATACATGCTGTTCTGTCATTGTTACTCACGAGAGTACCTTACGACACTGAAATCTAAGGCCCCAACAAAATCCACTATTCTGAGTTTTGTTTCCTCATTTGGTACGTAGTCCTATTGCACATCCAGAAAGGAGATTTAGTGTTTTTTTTCATAGGATCCACTGTGGGGATGCCTCCGTTACGCTTATGGGTCCATAATCAATAACTGTCTCGTCATCCTGACTATATCTACCGTCTTATCTACCTACTGTAATCTGGCAGGGACTCCCTCGGCCACGATAACCACCGCAAAGTGGGACTCCATGTACTAGTATCAAAGGAATACGACATCCAGACGTGGCTGAAAATGTGTCTTGTATATTGTACAGCAACTAAGCTGTACTACTAGTAGTAGCAGCTGTGGTATTCGCTTCCACTCATTGTTCTCTTGCAGCTTAATTGATTCTAACTTGGACCGGTAGACCGGACTTCTTGAGACATACCATGCCCGCATCCAATCTCGAGGACTTGATAGCTGAACGTAGATACCTACACTGTATACCAGAATACACAGGTAAATCTGTCAATACAAACCAGCTTCGTAACCTGTAATATCACCAAGAAGCCTAGACCCTAGCGACGCACCAACACGGACACGCAATACAGCAGACGACCATATCAGATTCCGACATTTCAATGGGGAACCTCCAATCGGATCTTTGGCTGTTGATGCAGCCCCTCCGGAACCTGCTCAAGAGGAACAATCACCTGCCGCAGGCTGCAGTATCAAAATCTGCCTCGAACAATCCATTTCTTTCCTGCGAGACAAAGAGTGACCTCCCTAACCCCCTTGCCTGGCTAGCCCTGCCTTGGAAGCCTTATCCACGTCAAGGCCCATCGATCGAAGTATATAATTATGATAGTCGGGGGTTTTGGAACTGATTTCACATGACCTTACCTTCAATACCGGCAACATACGTAGTCTACCAGGTACACATTGTATTCTATTTGAACCGGGATATCTAATCTCATCTCGCTTGTACCGGCAGCCTATTCATGCAGTACCTACTAATACAAGTGATGTATGTACTTCCTTGTACTACTAATAGTACTGATACTTGGAACTTCCCTGACGCGGGGTAACGAAGTCTGACCCCTCCAGGAGGAATAGCCATGACGTCGGAGCGCATATTCTAGATGCTCCATGTATGCATTGTTCAGGCTACCACAATAATCCTTAGACCAACAACTGGTAGTGGTTGAACGAATGGCGGGCGTTCGGTCCGGGTCAGGTTTCGAAACCACCAATTCGAGGAACTAAGGCAGTCGGTACTGCGTGCATGTAGTAGCCTCTACAGAACTACCAGTAGTAGAACATTGGATTATTGTGGGATAGAACTGCTCCTTTGAGGCTGCCACTGCACGAACATGGAGGGTCACAAAACAAGTGTTGGCAGGGATGCTGAACACAAAAAACACATGCAGCAAAAAAGTCACATTCAGTGGTTGATTTAATCCCTGCGCTACTGAGTGTAGTCTGTTGTTCTACATACTGCATATGCTATCAGTACCTCATAGTCAACGGGTATTGTAGATCTATACGATATATATGTTTTCTTGTTCTTTTAGTGCAGACACATTCAATTTCCCTTTAATTATTTTTTTTTTTTTTTTTGAAAAGAATTTTATTTTCTTTTTAAGAAAAAAAAATTTAGAAAAAATTAACAAATAACAAATAGCAAATAACAAATAAGTAAATTCATAGGACCACGCCAGTAGCTTTCACCCTTCAAATTAATTCATTCATCACCAGGATGCTAAAAGGGTATTCTCGCTAGGTATACTGGTAAAGATACAGGACTCGTCTAAAGCTTGGTGTAAGGCAGACTGTTCAGCAGACATAATAGAGACAAAGGCAAAAAAACAAAAAATAAGACCAGCACAAATCACCGCAGCAGGAAGACAATTGGACCAATCTCTTCCAAAACATTCACTCGCGACTTGAACCTCGAGAAATTCGCGGGCGAATTTTTTTTTTTTTTTTTTAAATCTTTTCCTTTTTTTTATCCCAAACCGACTCGACATAATGATAAAAGTACAAAATACCTGTTAGTAGCGTCGTCGAGGACGATATCAATTCGTGATCATGGCGCATTCAACACAGACGTATCCCTCATACTCTCTCGCGGCTCCATTTTGATTGTTCTTCTCTTCGGCCTGCTTTGTTCACCTGTAACGCATTGCCGTCAGCACCACAAGCGTTGCTTGTCAGCATGAGGAGCCAAACATACCTCAAGCCATAGTCCACAATCTTCCATGTTGACTTCTCTTAGACAATCATTTGCGCAAGCCCTTGGCCACCCAAGGTCTTACTTCCAACAAACTCCTGGCTCTTCAATCCTGCCAAGGCATAAAAGAGAGCAGCAAGAAGGAGGAGAACGGCTGCGGCGATCAAACTCGATGCGCCGGAGACAAGGCTGACCCATTGCAAGGCGCTCATGATTGTGTACATGGCAGCACGCATCCAGTTAGTGGTGAAACGTCGAATAAAGGTGTCGAACTTTTCGGATGTAGGGCAAATTCTGAGTAGAAAAGGAACCTCGATGAAAACGAGGATGAATCCCGAAACACTGTACATGTGAGAATTTTCCACCTTTATGTTGTCTGGCGACGGATCTTACAGGCATATGATGCTGAAGACGATGCGAACAGCGTTGAACGAAAAAATGTTGGCAATGCCGAGGGCGATGCATAGGACAATGCATACAACACCGGTCCTGGTCCAAAATAAGTCAGCATTTATTTCATAACAAGCCTGATCTGATGTTTGTAGAATCATGCTAATAACAGTTTCCCATCGTCGCGGCTCAAACAAGCGCCAAGCACATCCGTTGGAAGGACCAGGCAGCCATTGTTTCCTCAGTTTGCGTTTTTCGAAAGGAGCGAAATCAACTGAAGGGCAGTAGGGCACGGATGAGAGATCAAAAAAAGGTTACAAACCATTGTCCGTAGATACCTAAGTACGTAGTAGTGGTTAGCTATCTTTTCCGTTCCTTGTGATCGACAAGAAGTAAACACTGGGGTTTCATACTGAAGTTTCTCGAGCGGAATTCCTCAGCAAACGTCATGATGAAAGAGGAAATACAAAAAGGGAGTGCGCAGGTAGTTGGAGAAGCAGGTAGATGTCACTTTAGGTTGAAACAATAGTTGATTATCTCGTGTTAGGTTTGTGGAAACTCGTGGTCGCTGGAGTGTAAGCTGTGGCTAGTGGAGAGTTACTAGACATGTACTATGGGCCAACTTGCCAGATCAGGCCGATCACTTCACCGCCTATGGCAGAATTCAGGCACCATATCGATTCGCCCGTTATCACCGATAAACTACTACTAACAGTTAATTCTCCCAAATGAGGTATTAGTTACGACTGTGACCAACACTTACGCGCAGGACTGAGTCGACCAAATAGGCTTTTGCGCTAGCTTCTCTTTATCTTGGTTACTAGCATTCAAACACAGGGCAAACATGGATCCTACTAGTATCAAACACAACCGCAATATTTCCAGATGTAAGAACAATCAATAGATTGCAGCATCAAGATTGTCCACTGACCTTCCCAGCATCACGGCCCCGTAGCTCTACCAAAGGCCCACTAGACGATCCAAATGAGTAAGCTACAGCAGGACGCTCAGCAGAAAACCATGCTGACCTCAATTAGTCCACTGAACGCAGAGGGTGTACTTCAGCCCAAGAATATCGCAAACGCTGGCGGTTACACTGGGGCTTCATTCAGTGAATTAGATCCATTAGCACCGGATGACTTACCACAAACTTTGGGGAAAGATCTCTCGTTCCTTCTCCGGTACGACATTTATCATTCGCTCTCACAAGTTGACATTCCGCATACTTTGCGGTCAGAGTTCATTGGCCTCACATCAGAAGAGTCCTTGTCTTCATGCCTCAGCACTCTTGAGAGGCTGCTGGCTGAAGGACACTTCCTCCTTGCAGCCTATCTTTCGGGAACGATCTTGACGTCCTCATTAATCTCGTCTAGTGACATAAAGATGATTTTCTCGCTTTTCTACACACGATTGGCATGTCTGGAACTGTCCGGAAATACCATCATTGCAGCGCAAGAATCAAAAGCACTAGAGGACCTAAGCTCCACCTTCTACTATGTGGACCAGGCTTCCTCGACGCCAGATGTAGAAAACGAAGAGAAGCATGCAAATTACCCTCGTCATATTGTGCCGTGGCCGCTACGTGTTCTCGCCGTCAGGCTCCAAAGCATTGGGTTTGGTGATTCGCGCAGGGGCATTGGTGGTCTATATGAGATCGGACTAGAAGCGCGGAGGGAGATCATGCGGCCAGATCTGAGTTCGGCGGAACGAAGTATATGGAAGGGGAGACTCTCCGACCTTGGAATTCGAAGTGTAAATGCATTGATTGAAATGGGTGATCTCAGTACCGCTAGGAGATCTCTCCATAACTTGCAAACATCGGGGTCGGGTGAAACCAACAAGCTAAGAAAGGCGCTCCTTTTCCTTCTGATCGGCGACATTGATGCAGCGAAGCAACTTGCTGGTGAATCAGACCAAACTGGCATTTCTCTTTTCAACCCACTTTTGAGCATGGCTGAAGGCCGCTACGACGATGCAGTAACCGAATGGCGAGCTCTTTTAGAGAGTGGTTCAAATGGGACTGATACGGCAATAATATCCCAAAACATGGCAGTATGCCTACTATACACAGGGCGGTTAAATGAGGTATTCTTGGCCTTTATTAGTTGGCACATTGAGAAAACGGCTAATAACAGTTACAGGCCCGTCAGATTTTAGAGTCATTGGTGCATGGAGGACAGTCTTTTGGCGGTCTAATCTTCAACCTGTCAACAGTCTACGAGCTCTGTTCAGACAAGTCCGCGCAGTTGAAGGCAGGACTTGTAGACCTTGTTGCCAAGGAACCTGCCACAGGACACACCAACTTGGATCGACCCAACGCAGATTTCAAACTGTGAAACGTAGGCAGAATGGCGCTTGCCGCGCCTTGGTTGATCTAATATATTGACATTCATCTATTCTTTTCTATCAGTATTGAAAACCAGACGCCATACTTTCCAGCCTGAACGCAGTATAACGATATGACACGATAATAATAAAACATAAACTTCGTTATAAACAGTCATTACGGATTCACCTTACTCGATCCAAGAACTGATTGGGGCTTCGGTTTCGGCTTTCGGATAATAATTTTGTCACCCTCTTTCTGCCAACCAAGCTTCTCTGTCTCTATCAGTCTATCCCACGTCCAGTGGTTATCTCCTGTGCAGCCTTCTGTGATCCATTGCAATCCGACATTGAGGTAAGCGCTACCAACAGCCTTGAGAGCATGTCTCCGAACTCGATCTTCGGCCCAGTTCATTAACACCCGAATAGAGGAGTCCACTTCTTTTCGGACCTGCCAGAATACGACCCAGTTATCATGCGCTAAGGCTGTTAACACACGGTCAATTGTGGGCGACTGAAACGCATATTCGCGACGCGCTTTCGCGCGCAGCTCGAAAGCGGCAACCAAATCCTCCTGTCGGCAGGCGTAATCAAGGATTAGATACGAAATGAGATCTTTTAATTCTGACTCAGGTAACGGGTGAGAAGGCGAGTGTAGTTTCTCGAGTAGGTAGCGGAGAGAGGGGAAGTATGACGGCGGATGCCTGGCTTGGATGGATATTTTGACCGAGAAGACATGGACACGCTGGGAAAATGAGACTGGTATTGTGGACGCAGTGGCTAGAACCGCTTCACGAAGCTTACGGAGGGAAAGGAGAAGGGTGGACAGTTCGGTAGATGCGGAAAGACTATTGATCTTGGCTTGCTTTTCTCTCGACTGGGGAAGAGCCGCCGGGGGGTTCTTTGTGGCATCACCGGACGCACTTGTCGGAAGAGATGACCACGCTGCGTCTAAGTCCTCCGAGTGGTGGGCACAAAACGCCATGTATCGTTCGACGATTTTGGAAAAGTAGTCATTCTGGGCTTTATGGTCCAGCAATCTAGGGAAGTCAGTCCCACAAATGTGACGACCCCATTAGAATGACATACTTGCGATCGCCTTTGGAAACGAATCCCACCGTTTCTAGGAAATCCACCGCCACGGGCTTCAGGCGGCTCGCAGGTCTTTTCCCGCGCTGTGACATGGCTGAGCTGTTAGGTATGCAATGGAGAGTGAAATTGCGTCATGAAGCTATCGACATAAGATTGATAAACACATTAAATGCGGGAAAGACCGGCGGGTGTTTGCTCGGTTTGTCCGGCTTCCCCAACGGGCTTTTCCATACTATCGGATCCATCGTTTCGCTCCATCCCAACGTTTGCTTTCACCACAACAACATTCTTTTTTTGGCCGCGGTGTTTCTGTCTTTTTACCTAGCTAGGCGTGTCGTTTTCTCCTTCATTTCTCTCATGTATTTGGATTTAAATCCATCTTGTGCTTAGTAATCTTCCCCCTACTATCTGATTTATCCGTCATTTCTGCTGCGTCCTGCATGTGAAATATGCCGAGTCGTCAACGCCGCCCCACTGAGAAGGCTCAAGAGTCAAAAGCCAGTACGCCGGCAGCAATGGCAGCTACAGTTATGGAGCAGCCGCCTCAGGTCCTCAAGAAACTTCTGCACTGGAACGACTTGCCCCATTGGCAGCGCGACAATCATCACATTCATAGTGGATACCGACCAGCCTCGTTCTCGTTCCTAGTCTCTTTCCAATCGTTGACGTATATACACAATGAGACGGTTAATATATATACGCATCTATTGCCGTCACTACTGGCTGTCCCCGCGGCAGTCTTGCTTCATCGCGTTCTAGCACCTCGTTACGAGACGGCTACCCAGGCTGACATCATCAGCTTCGCCTGCTTTTTCGTAGGAGCTGCTCTGTGTCTGGGGATGTCTGCGACGTACCATACCATTTCGAACCACTCGCCGACTGTCGCGCGTATAGGCAATACCCTTGATTATGCCGGTATCGTAGCTCTGATTGTGGGCAGTTTCGTCCCTAGTGTATACTACGGGTTCTACTGCGAGCCTGGGCTGCAACGACTATATTGGACAATGATCGGCACCATTGGGATTGGCTGTGTGTTTGTTTCGATTATGCCCCAATTTCGGACTCCCCGGTGGCGGCCATTTCGCGCCGCCATGTTTGTTGGCATGGGCCTATCAGCGGTGTTTCCCGTCATCCACGGGCTACAAATGTATGGTTTTGAACAGATGACGCGCCAGATAGGGCTCGGGTGGCTGCTACTTCAGGGATTCTTGTATATCCTGGGAGCTGGGATCTACGCCGCTCGGGTCCCCGAACGTCTGCGACCGGGCCAGTTCGATCTTTGGGGTAGTTCGCATCAGATCTTTCATGTGCTGGTGGTGTGTGCTGCTGTGGCTCATCTGACTGGGCTACTGAGGGCATTTGACTACCGACATAGTGGGATTGCTGAGAGCTGCTCCTGGAACTGACTGGGTGATTCGCCGAGGCAACCGCAGGATCACACGAGCAGCGACAGGTTATAGTTAACCATGTAACAATAATCCAATCCGATGTAATAGACGGGGTGTGATGTGATGCTGACTGCTGGCATACAAATACGAGATGTGTCTAACCACCCCCTTGCTGACTATCACGGCAGCTTAGCTTTCCAACAAGGAAATGGTTCACGAAAAGAATAAAATTGTGTCGAGGACAGAAATAAAAAGGAGGGGGGCGAAGAAGATGTTGGTTCTGAGAGACCAGGCAAGAAGGTTCCCGCGGAGAGTTGCATGTTCACCGCTCAACTTCACCGGCCTTTTTAAAGATGTGGACAGGCCAAATAGACCTCCTATTTGTTTTTTTGGCTCGATTTACAGCTCACATGGTGTGTGTGCTGGCCTGCATACGCTGAGCACTTGCTCAACAGTAAATGCTTTTCACCATTGGGTGCTACGTCAGACAGGAGTGCTTCGCTCTCTCGAGCAAAGGCTGTTTTTGATGGATAAACTTATTTGGCCCTCGATGGCCCCACAGCTTTTTCCCACAATGTTGCACCTGAGCTTGTTACCAGACTCTGTGCTTGGAGGCCCAGAGGCAAGTGGCTATCGCTGACAGTCTCCTATAAGGATCCATTGGTGGTGGCCAAGCATCTGCCATTTGCCTTTTCGGATCCGTAAGATTTGGGGTCAGTTGGACCGCTGCGAGCGTCAGCCATCAGAGTGGCCACGCTGGTTGGCATCTCCATGCCTGTGTGGATCAGATGAAGTCGCCAGGTTTCACAACGGCTGACTTCATATGCGGTTCCCGTCGGTTCAAAAATCCTGATACGAATCTAGCTTTCCAACCATTCTCCTGGGATATATAGCAGTGTTTAGGCGATACTTGTCTGATATTGTCGCGGTTACTATATTGTTAATTTTAGCCGAATGGTCCAGTGCTGAATATACTTGACGTTTTAAATTGTCAGCCACCGATATAAAATCTTATATTGATTGGGCTACCGCGATACAACTTCACTGTGAAGTCTCATCCACTCGATCAGGTAATAGATGCTTGGAAAATCCGATAAACTCCCAGGAAATGGTGGGGAGGGCCCCAAACTCCGGGCCGCTTGCGAGAACTGTCGACAATCCAAGGTCAAATGCAACTTAGGAGGAAAGAATACTTGCATCCGCTGTCTCCGGCATGGGTTGCAATGTCGGTACCGGGTCGCCAATCGGTCTGGTAAGCCGAAGGGGAGCAAAAACCGAGCTACTTTGAGGAAACTAGGACAGCTCCAGGAGACGTCAGCAGCCCAAGTCTCCGGGAGGAGCACGAAACGCCGAGCTCTCCAGGCCACCGAACCACTAGGTGCGGATCAGGAGCTGAATAAAAGCGAGAATGAGGTTTGTTCCTTTCCTCCTGCCATAATTGTCGTATCGAGCTGATTTGTGATGATTCTAGACGCGAGAGCCCAGCCAACAGCTCACAGACAGTCCCTTAAGTCAACACAGTACAGCCAATACATGCTTACTACTGAGTGAATCGCCGGCGGACTACGTGAATTCATATAGGGGTTCACTGCCTGATTCAACGCATGCGGCTTCCCTGTCGCCGACCTTTCTCCAGAAAGAGTTTATCACAAAAGGATTGACGAGCTTTCCACTTGCCGTACATATCCCCAACGTACTACAGCCCATATGCGACTGTGGTGAGACTATCGAGTTCCATGCAAATCGTCTACAACATATCGCGGCTGACCCAGTCCATACGCGATTTGATCAGGGCCTGCAGGCTGTCAAGGAGGCACTGTCGGTCTGTCGAGGATTCCTCCAATGCCACAGCTGCCACAAAGATAACACGCACGTGCTATTATCGGTAACGACACTGGGATTGGCCCTACAACTGTTTGGTTACTGGATAACGTACCAGTGCGCCGCGCACGTCTGTGCGAGCAACGACGGACTCGGGTACGGCGAGTATGAACTGGCGCCCGAGGAGACGCGCCGAGTGCGCCGGGTGCTCATCCGAGGCCGACTCCAACAGTGTAAGGAGGTGGTGACATCGCTAAAAGCAACAATCGACATGTCCAGCAACGCAGATCTGGAGGGGAGCTGGCTACAGCAGATCATCCGCGGATACGAAGGGACAGTGGAAGCATATCTGCAAGCGATGGGCTGTATTTGCAATTGAAACGCATGAAACAACACTTGTAATTATTTATTTCCCAGTATACCAATTAATGCACTCTGATAGTATTATGTCTTTTTTTTTTTTTTTTATCCCTCCATATATCATCGATCTATGTACATATAATACAAAGGCATGTCGGCACTCGGCTGCACCACGGGCCTCGGCAACCGTTCGCGCCATTAACTCTGTATCCCAAAGTATGTACATACATAGCATTATCCATCATTACCCCGACACCACCCCTCACAAACTACCCCGTATAAGAACCAACTTTCACTCCACAAATCCACCATCTATCAAACTTTACCTTACCCTACACCAAAGTAAAGAGGAAAAGAAAAGGAAAAAGAAGAACTCCAAAATGGCCCACCGCCTCTCCCAAATCTCCTCCCATCTCAACTACCCCCAAGGCCTCCTCGCCAATCAGGTCGCCATCATCACCGGCGCTGGCCAAGGTATCGGCGCAGAGACCGCAAAGTTGTTCGCCAATGAAGGCGCCAAGGTCGTCATTGCTGATATTGATGCTGGTATGTTTTCTTTTCCTCCTCCTTATTCTCTCTCTCTCTCTCTCTCTCTCTCTCTCTCTCTCTACCTATACATATAAGCCCTTTACATATATATATATATACATAAGGTATATATGTATAATTGTCCATATAAACAAACAATCAATCAAGAAAAAGAGAAAGGGCAAGTCACTAAAGAAATATACAGAGAAAGCCACAAACACAGCAAATGCCATCAATGCCGCGGGTCCGAACCGGGCCATTGCCGTTACGGGGGATATTCTCGATGATGCCTATATCGAGTCGTTGGTGAAGAAGGCGGCTGAGTTTGGGAATGGTAAGATTCATGTTATTGTTAATAATGCTGGGTTTACGTGGGATGGTGTGATTCACAAGGTTTGTTCCTTTTTTCTTTCATATTATATATATATATATATATATATTTGTTTTATGGTGTTGCTAATATGGTCTAGATTACGGATAAACAATGGGATACTATGTTGGCTGTTCACAATACGGCGCCCTTTAAGCTGGTTCGTGCTGCGGCGAAGTACTTCCGAGTTAAGGATGGGGAGCCTCGTGTGATCATTAATATTAGTAGTACGAGTGGGATTCATGGGAATGCGTATGTATTCTTTCTTTCTTTATTTCACCATGGTAACTTTTTTTTTTTACTGACGATAATGCAGGGGCCAGGCGAACTACGCCCTCGCCAAGGCTGGAGTGGTTGGACTCACCAGGACCATCGCCAAAGAATGGGGTCCCGCGTTCGGTGTCCGGTCGAACACGATCGCCTTTGGCCATGTGCAGACCCGGCTGACGGCGGCCAAGGAGAAGGGCGCGTTCATTACCACGCCAGACGGCACCAAGGTGGCGCTGGGCATTCCGGGAAAGCAGTTGGAGTCACGCCAGGGTGGCGCGGGCGCGCAGAAGCAGACGTACCCGGATATCCCGTTGGGAAGGCCTGCCTCGCCCGAGGAGGCCGCAAAGTCTGTCCTGGCCGTCGCCAGTCCCCTGTTCTCGTATGTGACAGGTGAGACGATTCGGGTTACTGGTGGCAGGAACATGTAGGGACTTGAAACGATTAGTTATTCGGTAGTTTTATATACTTAACCACGAGATTGGGATCAATGAAAGCTTTCTCGATTAGTGCGACCCCGGCGGACGGTAAATTATTCACTGTGGATAAGTAAAGGAGATCACGATGACGTGGATCATAATAATACATCGGTATAAGGAATAGTATATACATACATAATAACTAAAGGGAACAAGTTTATGGCTTGTGCGAGCTCGCACGAGCACGTCAGATGACGTTTGATAAAAAAATAGAAGCCGTTGACATGATACCAGTGCTCAAGGGCTAGGGCATCTCGGTCAAAACAATCTCCGTTTCAGAATGAAGCTTTCTGGCGGAGCTGTCTGTAAGCGCCGGACCCACTGCGAACTCAAGACTGGAACAGATAACGCTTCGGGCAGTGTCATCGCTCGCCAACGAAGAACGGGTTGCAAGGGTTGGCCATGCCACGCAAGCCCAGTGGTCCTGCCCATGGCCCGCCATGTCAAAGCGCAATGAGATTGGCTCCGTCTGGAGCAGGAATAAACGCAAAAAACAAACAAAAGTCTAAGCTCACCGCATCATAGCGGACACCTTATTTCCGGTGGATACTCAATTAAAAATGAAAGAAAAAGTGGAGGGAGGAAGAAATAGAGAAATGAGAGGTCGGTAGTTGAAAATAGAAAAAAGATGGGAACGAAGAGATCGCGGTCGTCATATCTCTATTTATAGCGCTGCATCAACGCTTCACTCTGGTTCTGGCCCTTATGGTCGGCCCATGTGCGGACGACCTAGGTGAACTCTCGTATGGCTATCTCAAACCTCCATCAGAGGGGAACCGAACGGATCTTGGCCCAACGTGTCGAGCCAACAGATCAAAAACTATGTACCAATAGATCGAAACGAAAAATATCAAGAACGAGATCAAGAGCGGAGAGACATCCCTCCCCGGCTCCCAGGTATCATCGAGAAAAGAGCGAAAGTGTAACCAAAAATATCCAAGCGGCCCCTCCACAAACTCCGTGCAAACAGGAAACAAATGCAATGCGGTCTTGATCCAGGGGTATTTTCTTTTCTTCTTTCGATGCCAAGGTGAAAAATAACAAGGCCTAAGGGAAGTGAACGCCAACAATCAACAATCATGACAGCAAGTGTATCATAAAAGCCCACAAATTCCACCCAAAAAAGAGAGCGATGTATCAAAGATAAAAGAAGAAAATAAAAAACATATTAATAATAAAACAAAATTCACGTTTCCGACATCCAACTAAACCTCGCGGAGCGAGTTGGCGGAAACCTGTCCAAGAAGGCAACTCTGGCTCACCAGCCATTATCCAGCGGGAAATCATCCGGGTATTATCCACAAATCCAGGAAAGGGGTCCAAATGAAAGAAATTAAGGCATATGTTCAAAAAACCTGCTCTCCAAGGCTTTCTGTGCCGTGAAATAATACACTTGTCGCTTCAGAAATGCAAGGGGATGTAACCCAGAAATAATCCAAGGAATGATCAGGTGTATTCCTGGGGAAATCGAAAAGTATTGCCGTTAAGTCATAAACCTGCGTTACATAATTTTGAGGGTTCCGCTGCTTAGTAGGCAGGAACTGGGATAGGCTGAGGCAAAGGCATCAGCAGCGGCTCAACGAAGTCACTGCATGTGATTGAGTCCGTGGGCGCGAAGGTGTTCTTGCAATCGGCCTCGCAGTCCAGTCCCACGGAAGACATCGACGAGACACTGTCTACGTCGGGGTAGCCTTCCGTGAACGAGGACGCATCCGACACCGCCGACTGCAACGAGTCAGAATAATGAGAGGAGCCAGAAGAGACGGAGGACTGTGAATCATAGACATCCGAAGGGATGTGGTGCACAGGGACCTGTGGGTTATTGACAAAGTCGACCGGCATTGGCCCGTTGATGGAACCCCAGGGAGGAATGGTAAACTGCGGGCATTCCAGGATCATGGTGCGCAACTCCGGAATGGTGATCCTCTTTCTTGGGTCGCACTCGAAGATGCGGCTCAAGATACAGATCATCTCATCGGTCAAAGGAAGAATGGACTTGAGGAAGTATGGATCCTTCAGGTAGGCCCGGAATGTGGAATCCTCGGGAGAGGCACGCTTCCAGGGGTTGCGGCCACAGGTCAGGTTGACCAAGATTACGCCCAGGCTCCAGACATCATTGGGAGCAGATTCATACCATGACATTGGGCGGGGATTTGGTTGCTGGCATTCTTTATGTTGCAGGCCAACCGTTAGCCCACTGATCTCGGTCGGTGACAAAAGGGAGACAGGGGAATCAATGAGGGAAAGGAAAGGGGTGGCGTACCTGGTGACATGTAGAAAGTCGATCCGCAACCGAAATCCGACGTACAGGCATCCGTGGTAGCAAGGCCGAAGTCAGCTAGCTTGACGGTCAAACCCTGGTCGGTGACCAGGATGTTTTCCGGCTTAAGATCCCGGTGGTAGATTCCAATGTTATGGCAATATTGAACGGCATCCAGAATTTGGAGGAACACCCGTCTGACCAAGTGGTCATTGTGCACAAAGTTGCCTTTCTCCGTGATACTGGAGAACAGGTCACCTTCGGGGCAGAACTCAATGACTACATAGGTGCAGTCGATGGAATCCATTATGCGGACCAAGGAAACCACATTGGGGTGTTGACTGGCCATATGGTGCAACTTAATCTCGCGCTGCTGAAACTTGAGCTGGCGGGGATCCAGTCCAGCTTTGTTGAGGGCCTTGACCGCATACATCACATTGGTATGGATGTCAATGGCTGTGTAGACGACACCATAAGCACCTACTCCCAGGATTCCAATCAGCTCCAGCCGGTTGGCCAAGAGCAGTCCCAAACGGTCTTCCGGCGCATAGCAGCGGGTGATAGGCGGAGAAGGCGGAGGGGTGGGGAGCATTGGAGGGTACATGCTCAATGGAGGAGATGGAGCAAGCATGAAGGGCAGCGGGAGTCAAGGGGAAAAGATAAGGGTGATAAAAGATAATCAAGTGGATCCAAGGAGACCTGAACGAGGGAACCCTCTCCGTCCGGATGGAAGAGAGAGAGAGAGAGAGAGAGAGTTTGGTCAAAGGAAGTAAGGGATAGAAAGTCGGTGATCCGGGTTGAGAATGGTCCTTTAGAATCCAGTGGAGACGGGTTTAAACATCCAAAACCAGCATTTATATAGAACACGGAACAATAAGAAGTCGCCTTAAGGATCCATGAAGGGAATGGAGACGCCTGTCAACGGGAAGAGTAATGCAGGTCCTATGGGGAAATCCAAGTGGCGAGGTTGATCCAGTTGTAGATCTTGATGTCTTTTTTTGGCAGTGGCCGTTGCAGTGAGTTAGGACGCCGGTAGTTGTGGCAACGTTCAGGATGTTGCACAGCCCAGACTTTTTTTAGTTTTTTTATATAGTAATCAATGTTCCAACACCAGTAAGTTAGGTAGTCCAGCAAACCAGGGAGGTTGGTATTGGGAGGCGGAACAGTGGTGGCCAGCGGGATAGATATAAATGTGGCCGACAAGTACCGACCGTCTTGTATTATGTAGGGGTAGTTGCAGATTGCGGTGGATGGATGGGTGGATAGTTTAAGGGGGATTGTCCGGGCTGAATCAGAAAGGAAATGAAACGCACGAGAACAGTGAACAAATCAAATAAAAAAAAAAAAAAACCGGAACAGATTAAAACGGTGATATAAATGGGACGAAGCGGGAGGGACAGAAGAGGGAGAGCGAGAGAGAGAGAGAGAGAGGGAGGGAGGGAGAGAGATGGATGGGGAGGGAGAGCGAGAAGTAAGTATATGGAGATTGGAGGCGAAGACAAGAGAGGACAATAGCGATAAGGAGGAGGGAACGTAGTGGTAGGGGAAAAGGGAAAATCCCAATAATAATAAAAATAATAATAACAATAATAATTTCAAAATGCAAAAAATAAAAACGATTGATTTATTTATTTTTAAAAAAAGAAACCACCGATTTTATTTTTCTGGAATTTATTTTATTTTAATTGATTCCCCCCCCAAAAGCTAAATAAAAATCAGTCAGCAAGAAGAAATTAAATACGTGGGCGAAAGAAACACTCGTGGGTCATCCGATGTCCGTCCAGAGTGGCCACAACAACAACCACCACCACCACCACCACCACTACCACCACCACTTCAACCACCTCAACCACCAGTCGAAAATTACCTCAGACTGGTTTCGACTCATAATAAGAATAGTGGTCGAATCAGAAACAGGCAACACCCGACCACTCATGATTCGGAAACGAATCAACCATCCCTTTCCCCCCCCTCCCCTTTTATGTAACTTCTCCGTTACATGTTAAGCATGCAAGATGGACGGATGACGCTGATTGGGAACAATGGCGACCCACGGGGAGGGGCTAAGACGATGTATGATGCGAAGACTAGTGAGAGGGTTCGGCTACAAATAGGAAAGGAGGGGAACGGACCATCTCCACCGACAAGGCCGGGCCCTTTCATGCATCCAACCAACGACCGAAGGCGAAACACTGATGGATTGGAACGCTGGTTCTGGGACGTGGGCGGACACCTACTACACACACCGTCTCCATCTCCATCTCCATCTCTTCCTCTCCTCCGGAAGCATCCATAAAAAGGTTTCATTAATCCTTTCCGACACGAACGAACCAAATTACGGAACTGTAGATGTACCTGACTCAGATCGTAATCATCGACGCAATGATGGAGAAAAAGGAGGTAAGATGTGATTAAACTAATTAATTACATGTCCACAGTGGAGATCTTCGATGAGTCAACCCTACATGAAATCCTGCCGACATACATACATATGTACAGTACATCTGTGTAGAGGAGGAGGAGGAAGAAGAAGAAGAAGAAGCATTCTCTACGAATTCGACAACTTTTTTACACTTTCACGAATTTTTGCCTTGTCGGTCACAAGGCAATGAAGTTAAGGCTTAAGAAGGTATGGAAGACAAACGGTGGCTGTACTCTTGATCAACTGCGGTAAGAGCTGTAGTATAACTAGCATACTAGCATACTAGTAGTTAGAGTAGCAACGGTACGGAATAAAATGTTGTGAATGATGGGGACCGGCTGCGCCCTGTTGATTTGCTGCCTGGGGACCACCATTTACGTAGGCGGAGCCTGTTCTTTTGCCTGTTCGATGGATGGTGGGGGGAATTTTTTCCTTCTTTTCGTCAGGATTCCAGCCTAAGCCATGAATCACTGGTTAGGTAGTAGTAGAGCGAGGCGGTGTGGAAGTTGTGTGTGACAGGCCTCTCGGGTGCAGATTCATTGTCGCCCCACTTCTTCTTCTTCTTCTTCTTCTTCCTGTTCTCAATCGCTGGTCCGAGCGCATTGGCTGAACCCGGAAGGGGATGGAAGATTAATCCGCCCGCTTGGGAAGACGCCCTGATTGGAAAGTGTCACCTGAACCTGAAGGCGGCAATTTGATTGTCTCATTTGATAGGACTCTTACTACTCCTACTACGAACTAGGTCGTCCAAGGTTCAATCGTCTTGTTTTCTTTTTCTGGATGGTCGAGATTCCGATCTGACGGAAGAACTTCCATCCTTACCCCTCTCCACCTCTCCAACCAACCCAACCCCCCTTTTCGGGACAATTTATGATTTCATGGGAGAAAAAGCCATGAAACTCTGTTTACTTGAACCGGTGGTCATAGTGAGAATATGACAATGAGGCTGGGAGGGGCGCCCGCCTTGACCCACCGCCTTTGGACTCTATTGATGAGGAACATGGAACGAAACGGTTTGTTTTGCCTCACTGACCGACTCAATGAAAGCCAACAAAAAAAAAACGATGTGCAACCTGAAGAAACCACCTACGGATGGGGTACGACGTTGGAACCGATAGGGTACCTCGACAGGTTGTTAACCTTCGTTTCCGGTAGCCTGTCTTCCGGGAGCCTATTCATCTCCATTGCCAAAAGAGAAGAAGAGAGAGAGAAAGAAGGGCAAGACACAGGCTGCCAGCTCATCTCATGGCTCCACCACCGAAAGTAAGTTGCTCAAGATGGATGACTTTTCAATCTAGACCTCGGGGAATGGAGGAGAGTGTCCCAGATTGATCGATAGCCTCGAACACAACAAAACACCCTTCACCTATCAAACCTCTCCCCAGGCAATGACAGGCCCAGCAATCCGGACGGGAAAGGTTGGTCAGGGGGTACCAGAGGACCGTTGGAACTAATGACCTGTAATCGTCCAGAAATGGTAGTCTCTCGAACATGGGTTGGAATTGGAGCATTAATTTTACTCGGAGTAGATATGATGCTGACTACATCGCGAGGCACTTTTTGTTTTGCCTTGCCTTGGCCATTTCCCTTTCCTTCCCCCCCTGGTCGTCGTGGGCTGAGAATATCAACCGAGAGGATCCAACGCTACCAGTATGTACAACTTTACAAGTCACTCTTTCTTTACAGTTTTGAACTGAGTGATAGTGGGACATTTCACTCCTATTCACTTTCATTGACTCCACCTAGACCATTAAGCAAGTAGTAGATACAAAAACCAACACATCCACACCGCTTCTCACAAGAAAAACAAAACCTTAATACGGAGTACTCTGATAATTAATGCCCCGTTTAACATAAATTAGGCCCCTAAAACCATCCACTCCAATGAGAAAGATAGCACCGACTAGTAAAAGAAAAAGGAAAAAAAGAAAAAAAAAATTCAAGAAGTGAGGCAAGATTCCCTACGCCCAATGACCGCGCGGATCTTCATCCGCTTCGAGAACATCGAGTGACAGCCCCGACGACCGGTGATTGGCTGCTCTAGCTGCCACGTTTGCCGTTCCGAAAAAAGTTTCCAAGTTTCCCTTGTGGGCGGTGGAGATTGGTCGGTGTGAGATCCCTAAAGGGCCAACCCGGCCATGCATTGGAAGCGCCTGAAAGTAAGGCGGTCCATTGTAGTAGGTCTGAAGTTTCTGGTCGCTGCCCCGGGAAGGCTGCACGGGCCAGGAAAAGCACACGCACTCTCTTTGCTAAGCTAAGTAGTCTACTAGTGTACACTTCATCTCAGTCCCCTTTTTTACCATATCAATCAATCAATCAATGTGGCCTGCCTACATACTAGAAAGATGGAATGTAACGAGCATTTTCTTTTTGTCATGGATGATTTTATTTTTTATCACCGACTGACTTTTTTTTTTTTTTTTTCTGTTGTACTGGTCCACTCGATTTCTGAGAACTACTAGTAGTACAAGATATACAAATGAATATCCTATATTGGGTCTTTTCTTCTTTTTTACTTTTTGTCAGGAAAAACTGACAGATCATTCCCCGTCGATTGCAACACGGGAGCCATGAAGTAGTTAACTAAGAGAGGTCGAGGGGTCTAGTTTTAGTAAGACTGGGTAGCGATCGACCAACCCAGATCCTCACATGATCCCTCCTTCGACGCACTTCGAGGCGCGAACCTGAAAATTCAGGAAGCCACCTGGAAGCAGCTTGGACTAATGGATGAGTCGGAGATTTGTTCATTGGCTCGGCGGAACTTGATGCTCGGCCATGACGACGATGAGAATCAGAATTATACACAAGTTTCCGTAATTATGATCCTCCTCAAGTTTCTCCGGTTGCAGATATACCCATACTTAGTAACCAAATTGATATACTAATAATAAATTCTCCCGATCTTCAAATCTCGGCAGACATGAACATCCAAATCTAACTATTTCAACAAAAATAAATAATTAAATAAATGAAACAAATTGAAAATAGACAAACAGAACAACAAAAAGGGAAGACCACCTCCACAGTAACACCGCACTTAAACCCCGAGAAACAAAATAAGGAATTCCTTTTAAGATTACGATCATCGTTGGTAGACACTTTGCAAAACTGACTTGCATTCTGTACCCCAGACACAATAAGAGCAGTCTTAATAATGGGTCCCAATTCAGTATGCCCTCCGCAAGGGGGAGCACACACAGAAACGAGAAAAAGAAAATATACATGAAGATGTCGAGGAATCTGCACTCCGGTCTGATAGGTCTGCAAATATTGTTGCTTATCTTTCTGACCTATACTCTAACGGTCGACGGCTGAAGACCGAAAGTCATCTGTAGCCCTGCAACGATGAAGTCATACCGACTGTGATGGCCTTTCGTTCTTTTACTGGCCCCTCGTCATTATTGATAATGAGATGGATAGTCAAGGGATAGACGTGTAACATGGACACCTCCTCAACTGGTAGCTGCTGACATCATTCTGGACTGGTTTCGTGCATGATGATTTGGGTCTCTGGCTTTTCCTTTTCTCCGCAATTATTGTTTGCCTCGTTGCGCTCCGCGTGGATGGCAGAACGAGATTTGTCGTGGTGATGGCGGTGGTGGTGGAATCGAGGGATGAGATAATCCATACCAGGCCCTATCACCGTCTCACATTCAATTCGGATCCTTGCATTAGACTCACACAATAACAACTTACAACAACAACAACAACAACACAAAAAAAAAAAAAAAAAAAAAAACTTCACATCCCTCCCCATCGACGATGGATAGGGATACGGATCGGGATCGGGATCGTCCTTGCATCATCCATTGAGTCAGACAGCCTAATGTTTGCCACCGCTAGAGGGGGAACTGTTGGTCTAGACAATTCAAATCCCTACTCCACCCGGCAATCAGATAAGTGGCAACTTCGCCCGATGAAAATGGGGAACGGTGGTATATTCCCATTGGATTGAGTAGACACAAGTATACTACGATGGCATTATACTATATACAAGGAACGGTGAGTCGGAGCTCCACTCCAGGCAACGAAACTAAGTCTTCGGCCGCGAAATGAATGGATGCTTCAGAGCCTCAGCCGGTGTGCACCGTTTTTCCGGGTTGAGACTCAAACAGCGATCCAGCAGATCCACAAACAGTGTCAGCTCCTTGGCCTCGCTGTCCGTCATTCCGCGAGTACCTTTGCCCATCAGCCTCGTTTTCAGATCCCGAGTGGGCTTTTTGAAGTCAACCACCCGCGTGACCAGACGCCCTGTGATCTTGTCTTCTTCGGTGCTGTGGAAATTCAACATGTCGTCAAAATGCATGTGCGTCAGCGATCCCTTTCGCAAAAGCTTGGGCGGGTATTTGCCCCGACATTCCATGATTGACCTTAGCATCTGATTGTTATTCCGCCCCGTAAACAAAATCTTGCCCGTGTACAACTCGAATAACGTACAGCCAATGGACCATACATCAATGGCTTGATCGTAGGGAATGCCCAGGATGATCTCGGGGGCTCTGTAGAACCGACTCACAAGGTACGGTGTAATCTCGTTCTCCGTAGTCGACGATGCAGAGCCCAAGTCACAGACCTTGAGGACATTTCGCTGTTCGTTGACCAGTAGATTGTCGGGTTTCAAGTCCGCATGGAGGATATTACACTTCCGAAGCAAACTCAGCCCGAGGAAGATCTGCTGTGCGTACGCCCGAATCGCCATTAGGTTCAGCCCAACATCTCGTCCAAATTTCTTCAACACCTCACGTAAGTTCATGCTGAGATTCTCGAAAACCATACAGAGATGTCCCTTGTGATCGAAATGGCGCTCGAATTTGATGATGTGCTTTTTATCATCGGGGTCGGCTTCATGGAGCTGTTCCAAAATGCCAATTTCCTTCATACCTGCCTTCCTCATGGTGTCGTTCTGTCGAATGATCTTGACTGCAACCAGCTTACCAGTTTTCGAGTCGGTCGCGCGTACGACGGATGAGAACATGCCTTTGCCGAGGCTCTGCTGTACATGATACCGTCCATTGATCAACTCACCAAGACGCACATTGTAGTATCCTTCTGGATCATCCCAGTTGTCCATCATGCTGATGTCGAGCTCCTGTGGCTGAGGCACGGCTGGCATGGCCGAAGCATGCACTGGCTGTGCTGTATCGTGTGTTTCTTCGGCGAACATGTCATCATCATCCTCTGCAAACATGTCGTATGGGTCCTTCGCCTTGGGCTGTTCTTGCTGCACTGGAGCAGCATCAGGGATCAGAACATCCTGTTTGGTGGTTTGTGTCTCGTCGTATGACGCCGCAGAAACGTCCGCACTTGTATGCTTTTCCCTCTCAGCTTTCATGTCAAGAGTGGGGTCATAGTCTGCTGCAGAAGGTTCATCTTTATCAGTTCCATCCACGGGAGCATCGTCATTAACCAACTCAGCATCCTTGCCGATCTTGAAGTCTGAGAACGCCTCTCCAGTGCTGTCGTTTGGTGTTTCGGAAGCTGACAGCTGCGAGTCTGCAGAGCAAATTTCGTATTAGTTCGACAATGCTTCAAAGCCTCTCAGTGGAACGCAGGCGAAAATCCACATACCTGACGCTGCGTTGTTTGTTGCAACAGGCTCGCTATTAGGTGTAGACGAGTCCCTATCGCCTGCGATATGGAGTGCCTGTAAACGTAAAGGCGTAGCCTGGCCTCTATACTTAGCTTTGATAGCTTCACGCCGTTTCCGACGAGCCTCTAATTGAGTTGCTTCGTCAACCGGCTCGGCCGGTTGGGACTCGTGGGTTTGTTGCACCGTTGCGTTTGTACTAACGAAAATCAGCAAGATATACTCCACATATAAAATCAACAGTGAAGCATACCTTTCTTCAGTAAGCGACATGGTATCTTCAGAACCTTGCTGCACCTGATTCGTTCGAGTTTCAGTATCACGTTTAGAATCTCGAGCGACGGGTGTTTGCCCTCGTTCGCTCACTAACTGTTCAGTAGACGACCTTCTTCTAGCATCCTTGGAAGCTACACTTCCCTCCCTAGGGGTTTCCCACTCGTCACCCGAGTATTGCCTAGGTTTCCGGACTTCGCGGTACGGTGGTGTTCGGCTTCGGGTACGGGGGCGCTTATCCCGACGTCGGTCGTAGTCATCGCTATAGCGAAGACCACCGCTATAATCCTCCTCCCGGTCATAGTCGTGATAGGGCCTTGGCCGTCTATGGGAGGAACCACGATCATAGTACCGGTCATCGTACGGGTATCCGCCGCGTCGCGAAATGTCGTTCCGGAACCGTCGATCATCATAATCATCGTCAAGTCGACGCTTATGTCCTCTGTAGCTTCGGTAGGGAGAGCGGGACCGGGAACGCGATCTTGTCCTCGATCTCCGGCGACGAGATGATCTGCTGCTTAGAGATGCTGGAGATCTGGGCGCCGGTGATATACTGGCTCTGGTGGGACGGTCAACGCTGTTGCCATTAAGAGGAAGTTGCGACGTAGTTGCCTTCGTCTCTGAACCTGATTCGATGATCTCACCCTCAGAAGGGGTCGATGGAGACCTCGACCGATGTGAAGCCATGATGCGACAGGTCCTCCACTTGCCGTATACAAGAAAAGACCAGAGGTGATTTGTATGTAGTACGACTGGCCTTTAGAGCAGCTTTAAAGACAAGAAGAATGATCCTCGGTTAGCAAGATCGCTTCCGATGATGAAGTTTGGGGGGAGTGTATTGAGAAAGTCCAACCGGCTAGAGATGCCACGAGCCCTTGCCAACTTCGACTACCGTCTCGAATTGAGCATGAGTCTTCTCCAGGAAGCAATTTTGTGTGAACGTGAAATGACGGCCTTGACGCCAAAAGGAACAGATAGAAACAATTAAAGCCGAATGACACGATATCGGGATGATAGGTCGGGATGAGAGATGACTCGACGCGGTACCTTCCCGGTCACTTTTATCTAGAAGTTGATGAAGGCGGTGTCAAGGAGGAGATTTCGCGCCTAACCCAATCAAGCCCTAGCGCCACCCCGCAGATGGCGGCAACAAGATAAGCTGTGTTTCGCGCCATCAATTTTTTCCTTTTCCCCCCCTCCTTTCGTTTCCACTTTCGATCAACAACGTTGGTTTTCGCACGTCGTTTGTTTTTACCCCTTACTTTCTATATAATCAAATAAAAATGGGTGGTGCAAGCAGAGAAGGTATGTCATGCATCTACGAACATATACAGGGCGTCTATTGACTTAGAATTTCCAGGCGGCAAGGTCAAGCCTTTGAAGGCTGCCAAGAAGGACAAGAAGGAGCTCGATGACGATGACCTCGCATTCAAGGAAAAGCAGAGAGCTGGTATGAATGCCGAATTCCATAGTCTAACTCTCGCTTGTCCATACTGACCGTCTTCACTACAAACAGAGGCCAAGGCCAAGAAGGATTTGCTGGACAAGGCCAAGGGCAAGGGCCCATTGAACACGGGTTCCCAGGGCATCAAGAAGTCAGGAAAGAAATAAGTTTCTCTTGAGGACAGCACTACGCTATTTTCACGATATACAACGAGCTACGAGCCATGAGTGCAAAGGTGGAGGGTTGCCATATGGGCCTCATCGCTACTTGCCGTATCTGAACAAACTCATATATTGTTTTCTCAATTCGATATACCTCCATCCCATCGAAGCCAAAACCAAACAGGGCCAAGACTGTCCCCTTGGTCGACTCGGCACAGGCTCGTTGATCAACAGAACCGACCAAATTATAAGGTTCCAATCCAACTAGTGGCCTTGTTGGTATTCTTTGAATACTGCATAGTAACTGCTGCTCATGCGCCGTTTGTATCATTAGATAAATATTTCAGATGCGAATTTCTTTCTTTCTTCTTCATTTTTTTTCTTTTGTAAAACGCTCATTTAGGGTATATGCAACGCTAGAAGGGAAAGGCTTGGCCAATAGATTTTGAACGACAGGAAAAGAGAACTCAGTGTAGAAAGGGAGAGGAAGGAAGAAAAATGTCAACAAATTAAAAAGGCTTTAAAGCGAAATATGTCGAGGAGAAAGATGATGGGAAATAATAGGGGAAGGAAAAGAATGTCAAAAAGCCTAGAGAATCGCCCTTCAGCTGGTCACTCGTTTAACCCATAAGCCACTGCTGCCACCATAGCATTCCTGTTCGTCACGCTTCCTCCATGCTCGGAATAATTTCATGCCAATCTCGTGTTCTTCTTTATTAATATCAGCCAGCTCGTTGTTCAAGCTGGCGACCGTTTTCTTGACCTCGTCCCTTGCGGCCAGATCGTAAGCAATGGGACTGGGCTGGATGACTTGCGTCAACTCGTAAATCATGGTATTGATGCTTGCTTTGCGGCGTGTAAGGTAGTCTCTCCTTGCTTCCAACATTTCGATGCGATTTTGGGTTTGTTGCTTTGGGGTACAAGGCAAAAGTTCGTTCGTTGTTTGAGACGGGGTGGGCTTCCGTAACGGAGCTACCGCGCTGGGAACGGGACGTTTTCTAGACATGATGGAAGGTTGATACTCGGTAGACTGGGAAGCAGCGTCGATACTCCCTCGCGGACTTCCTGTTGCGGTGGAACTACCTGCTTCTGTAGGCTCGTAGGTAGTTACACTGAAACGGCTCAAAGGCAGACCGAAGTCATCTTCGTTGGTGAGTTTTAAGTCAGCAAGGGTATTGGTGAAATCAGGCTCCGGTAGATTGACGCGTGGCGGAGCACGGCTGCTGGCGCTAGTCGCAGGAGGGGTCGGCTCCTCAAACACTGTTCGGTGGATATTCTTGCTTGGCGCATACATCTCCGGAAACTTCGTGTTTACTTCACCACCCGTGATAGTCGTGACAACTGAAGGAAAATCACCAAGATATGCGCCACTGGGAGATGGGCTCTCTCGACTTCTTAACCGAGAGGAACTCCTCGACAAGTGCACACGAGATGAAGACCTGGCTCTTGGCTTTTCCTGCAAAGGTTCCACTATCGGAGATCTTCCACTGGCACCTTTCCAAGGCACTCGTGTGTTGGGTGGAAGGAAGAGGTCACTTTCTTTTGGCCGGCTACGGGCTCCTGAGAGCTTTCTTTTCTGCTCTCTCCCCCAGTTGAGAACGTCCGAACTACGAGACTCTATAGGTCTAGCATCGGAGCTTATGTGCGTTTCGAACGTGCACCCAGGAGCCGCGTGCGCAAATGTGTCCATGTTCTTCGGCTCACGGGAGAACGTATCCCATCCGGTAGCAGGTCGCGTGAACGAAGGTGTTGGATCTTCTTGTTGATTAACTGGGTGTTTGCACAAAACCGGTATGTGGCTGGTGAATGTTTTCTCCGCTTGTCCACCCCCGAAGTACTCGTCGAATTCGTCCTCTAGGGATGAGACTCGAGAGCTGCCCAAACTAGCAGGTCCATGGCCAAGGAAAACCGGCGAGTCGGGAGGTGAGATTGAAATACTGTCCGTTCGCCCGGGAGTGTTGGAGTCCTGAGGGAGGTATTGCGTCAAACTGATTGAGGGTTTACGTCGGCTGTCTGCCATAGAATCTTGCGAATATGAACTCCCTGCAATCCCAACCGTGTCCGACCGACGCGGATCCAAAGGGTTCCTAAAACGGGTTAGAGATTGTATAGCTGTGCTACTTCCTCGCTGGCACATACTTCGGCGGGGTTGGTAAAGTTTTTGCATGATACTTGTTTTCTTTCTGCGCACCAGAAACAAGAGGAAAGGACTGGTATTCATTATCATCCAAGGTCTTTCCGACCAAAGTAGGAGTTCCAATTACCGGCTTCTTCGACCGATGGAAATTCGATGAAACCTTCAACCACATTTTGATCTAAGACACCGCGATCGATCTTCCTGCGGCTAGGGATAGCGATGATCATCAGTGGATCAAGTTGCGATGCAAGGGGAAGGGTGGCATACCTCAAATACCTTAATTCGTCCAACGGTTATAGAAAAAGAAGAGCAAAAGGAGGTTAGAGAAAAAAGTGTCCAAAAATGTCAAGAGTAGGACGTGAAATGCAAACGAGGATGAAAATGATCCCTGTCACGAACAGGCTGGTTTTATTTTCAATGTGGATTCCTGCAAAGACATGCCAGCATGTCATTCAACAATTAGAAGAGAAAATGTCGACCAATCCTTGTCCGGTATGCACGCCAACAAAGGGAAGGTTTTGCTGACAAGGACTCGAATGCGACACGGATAAAACCGCTCAGTTAGTAGTAAAAGACAAAAAATTAAAGAGTAAAAATAAAAGAAAGAAAAAAAAAAAAGGAGGGAGAAGAAACTCCGAAAGAGAGAAAGAATTGAAGCAAGGAAAAATCCAAGAAATTATACAGTGCTCAACACGAGTGAAGGAACGAATGAACAATTGCAGAAAGAATGAATAATGATGACTATCAGGCTCGCCTGATTGAGGGGGCAGCAAGAAGAAATGGAAGAAGTCATGGCACCGGAACAAGCACATGCCCATGAAGGGTCCTGTTTCAGCAATTTGCAGTAATCCTGATTGACTAACAGTTCGTGGTTAGTCTCCCGTTAGTTGGGTTCATCAGGTACTATGATTAGTAGTCAACGTTAGCTCCGTGACTCCATAACAATTATAATGATCTTCGTCCAGACCATTGAAAGCCCCTTAAGTCATCCGAGGAGTGGATTTTCCTCGGTCCTGGTCACTAAAAATAACAGGGAAATAAATTAAAAGGAGGAGAAACCCAGTTTCCTCGGGTGTCTGTGCTACGGGACTCAGAAAATTGGCATAAACGGAGTAAGTACAACAAGCCTGTGGAGTTGAATTAAAGATCCGTGAGGACTTCCGGGTAAACCATGGGTGAATTGACGGCCTGAACCTTGAGGCTGCAGCTGAGACTGCAGCTGGAGAGGGTTCACGTGCGGTAATTAATACCGCTGTCAGCATCGGCTTATTTCTCCGCATTGGGCTGGACACGGAGCATACATACCTGAGTGATTGTTACTTACTGTACGGTGTACAGTAAGTAATATTCAACGCTGTCTTCCGTCATCTCCAACTTTACCTCTTGTCAGCTTCATCCTTCACCTCAACTTGTCCGCCTCCTAACCAAAACCACCGATCTTCCTCACAAACAACCATAACTATGTCATCTCCACGTATGTTTCTTTATACATCATCCGCTAAATGAATAGTCAAAGACACATTAACCCATAATCCATACTAACATAATCTGCAGAAGACGGGGCAGTCCCGCCGCCCGCCGAAGTGTCAGTATCCCAACCAACGCAAAGGACTGGTCTGGTCCTCCACACGATCGAAAACTAACCCATATTCTCTTTAGTATGTCAATCGCATCGCCGATCAACCTACTTCTTCTCTCCCTCTTCGCCGTTCTGGTGTACATGCAATTCCGACCAAAAGCGCCCGTAACTCTTCCCAAGGGTCCTGCGCCCGTCGTCTTCCGCACGTTCACCCCCACTACTCTGCTTGAATTCAACGGTGTCGATGGAAAGCCCGTCTATCTAGCCGTCCGCGGTCGCGTCTTCGATGTATCCCCGGGCAGGAACTTCTACGGACCGGTATGCGCTATCTTGAGCCCGTCGGGTTGACAAGAACCGAATATTCGCAGACAAAACTAACTCATTCTGGTGCAGGGCGGCCCCTACGAGAACTTCGCTGGCCGAGACGCATCCCGTGGATTGGCCTGCCAGAGCTTCGACGAGGAGATGCTTACCAAGGACCTGAAGGCTCCTTTGGATGACCTCAAGGATCTTGATGCGGAAGCGTTGGAAAACCTCCAGTCGTGGGAGGAGCGCTTTTTGGAGAAGTATTTGGTCGTGGGTAAATTGGTTGCTGAAGGCGATCCGGAGGCTCCGAAGGCATAATTACCTTGCGATTAAACTCTCACTACGGATGGTACCGCGTATTGATGACGGAATGCGGGGTTGAAGCTTCTACGAGGTCGGAAGTATCTTGATGGAAAATGTGGCACCTGGTGTTTTCAAAAGCGATGCGTGTGGTTTTCTTGTTTGTTTCGCATGAGACATGATTCGATTGGCGCTCGAGTGTGAGCCGCATGTATTGGGAACTTTTAGATCATAGTAAATGACATCTTATTATAAGTACTAATGTTAAACCTGCTACCACCACAATTCATAACGCCCAGAGGGGTAGTAGGTTAGTCATATTACCGATACTACCTAGTGCAAACTTTTGCAGAATTGAGCAGCACGACCATTGTAATTAACATTCCATGTTTAAAATAAACCAAGAGAGAACGACAAAGAATCAAGAGGTACTGTTACAAGTCATCAAATCGTGGCCGGGATTAAGAACTCCCTAGATTCCCCAAGTTCACAGTTCCGCTCGCATCTCTTCCGCAGCGTCCGCAGCCTTCTCTTGCGCCTTCTCAGCAGCGCGCTGACCCTGAGCCCGGCCACTGGCCGCTCCGATCTTCAACTGATCCAGGAGCCAGTTGGTAGCATCCTGGATCTTGGCATAGATTGTTCCTTGAGGAGTAGAAGTACCGTACCTAAAGTACTCGGCGTTGCGTCGTACTGCAGCGCGTAATTCGTTGAGGCTAGAGCCTTGGTAGACCGGAATACCATATGAGTCAAGGTAAGCCTTAAGCTCAGACTGAGACCAGGTGTCGAAGGTGGAAGACTTGGCAGCGTCAGTAGCCTGCGCCATGTATGACGTAGCTGATGCCAGGTTTGCTCCTCCAGCCTTGGAGGCTTTAGCATAAGTATCTTGGGCTTGTTTCACAAGCTCATCCCGAGTGAGATCCGCACGGTGGGCTGCCTTGGCATTCATGGAAGACAAGTATTTCCTTCAATTGAGGTCAGAAAAAGGGTCACTGATTGGATACGTGCAATGATGACTTACTTCAAGTGCTCAGTGTCCCAGGTGTCGAAAGTCCAAGCGCTCCAGCCAGTGGCTGCTTTGTGCTTGTGCAGTCTAACCTTTGCCAAAAGCTCATCACGCTTGTTGCTCTGCGGAACAGGGACACCACGTGCATCCAAGAAGGCCTTCAGGCGGGAGTCGGACCAGGTCGCGACAGCAGCATCAAAGGCTTCCTCTCCTTTAAGCTGTGCGGCATCGGTTGCTCGGGCGTACTCATTGCCAGCCTTAGTGGTAGCAGCACCATATAATTCCGAGGCCGTCGAGGTAGCACTCTGGGATGCAGTAGAAGCTACAGAGGAGGCCTGACTAACTAGGGAGGCGCGGTGCTTTCTGGCCAGTGCGACCAGCTCGTTGCGCTTAGAGCCTTGTGGCACCTTGACATTATGCTCGTCGAGGAATTTCTTCAAGTCGGAGTCAGACCACGCATTGAACAGCGCTTCACTCAGAGTAGCCTGAGCCGCATCTGCGGATTTAGAAGCAGAAGCAGCGAGGTTCCGTGCTTGTAAGCTGGCCAGTCTAGCGTTGCGACGCACCATTGCGATCAGCTTGTCACGGGTTGTAGGCTGGGGCACCGGCCAGCCACGCTCGTCAAGCCATTCCTTCAGGTCGGACTCAGTCCACTGCTCGTAGACCCAGTTGCCAGGATAAGAAGCAGCCTCTCCGAGTCTTTTGGCAATTGCTTCGTAGTTTTCGCGGGCCGTTTTGAGCAGTACATCGCGCTTGCGCGGCTGAGGGGCAGGAACACCATGCCGATCAAGGAAAGCTTTGAGATGAGAATCAGACCAGCTGTTTTCATTTGTTAGTGGCGTGCATAGTATTAAGCGCTTCTGTTCTTGACTTACGTATCAAAGATCCAGTCCTTAGCATGATGCCATTGATCAGTAGCCTGGTCCGCTGCTTGTCCTAAGGGCTTTTGGACTTTCGAGTTCCAGTTTACCTTCACAGCACTTTCGAGGTCTTTGCGATCAGCAGGCGAAGGGTACGGGATGTCTATACCTCAAGTTAGCCTCTTGCAGGTGTAGAAGACGTTTCCATTAGGCGAGTCGTACCATGGTCGGAGAGCCACCGCTCCAGTTCTGTTTCATGCCATTTGTCGTATACTACAGTGGTCCTTTTGTCAGAATAACCCTTCATCTTCAGAAAGCATACAGGCTGTGTAACATCGCAATGTAAGACAGTGATGGTTACATACCAGCTCTACTGAACCACGAGTGTGCCCCAACCGCCTCCACGGTTGCGAGGGCCAGCACCAGACCCGAAGCGAAATTTAGCTTCATAGTCACTGGTCACGAATGCTTGGTGTGTCTTCTAACTGATGGTGTAACTATTAGCAGTCAGTTATATCTCAGATGATTTTTGAGAAATCCGAAGGACATCAATTGAGGACAACTTACATAAGTCCTTACAAGGGTAGTTGGAATTTGAAAACAAAAGGATATGTGAGGAAGTTGTAGTATTTATTTATTAGGAATGATGAGAGATGATTGCCGAGTGACGTAGTTGTTTGCACAATCGGCCTGCGTGTGGTTACTGGCGTCATCGACTGGGTCAACCTTGGTCGCGCATCATCTCGACAACTCGAGACGCCTGGTTGTTCAGTTGTTGTGGATCTAACATGGTTTTCACTGGCTAATCAGACGACCGAAATTCAGTGAATGTAGTTTAAATCTCGTAGTCTGATTGTAATCTCTTTGATTGTTGAAGCTCTCAACAGATAAGAATGCCAGTCTAGCTATTCGTGGTTTAGCGCCAGGTATTGCCTCTTTGGGTTATGCGGAGAACATCGACTTAAGAGGCAAGAACTACGTACTAAGTACGGAGTACCATACTAAGTATTACATCTCCGTACCGTACCGAACAAACAGTACATACAGTACTTTATCGCTTATCAGGGAGGAGGTTCGTAGACCGAATGACAAGTCATCTCCTCACCCCCAACACATCCACTCGAACATCGTTTTAACTACAAATAGCCTAAAATAAGGACACAGCTTCAGACATCCTTACGTGAGATGGCTTTGTTTTAGCCCCAACAGTCTGCAGCTCACTGGCAAACTACCGAGGAACTCACCGTAGTTACCGTCTATCACAGGGCTTGGCCTCGGATGCTCCTGGTTAGCTCTTTATCAATCACTGTCTTGATGATCGCAACTCGATCAGTTGCTCCTTTATCAATCGCCGTTATTAAATACCCAATAGAAGATTATTGCACGCAGCGTGTTCATCGTGTGCTTTACGAAACGTCAGGATGGATCTTCTGTCCAACGCGCAATGCAAGCATCTGGTCTCTCCAGGCTATATAAACTTCACCCTATCAATGTACAGTTTCCCTAACACCATCGAAACTCTCCTGAAGGCATATGCTAAACTGAACAGCTTGATCGTATTCGGTATACTGTTATCCTACCTTCCCCAGCACTACCGAATCATCTCCCTAAAGAGCTCCTACGGTATCTCACCGTATTTTGTCTTATTGGGAACAATCTCCGGTTCGTCGTCTTTAGCAAACGTGGTATCCCAACAACAAAGTCTGCAGGATGTTTCCTGTTGCAGTGACGTCAACGGCCTGGCTTGTTTCGCAGGACTGCTAGGTATCCTCCAGATTGGAACACAGTGCCTCTGCTTCTTTATCATGTAAGCGTCTCATCCGCGAAAGTGGCAAGTATGTCCATGTCGCTGACAAGCAACTTTCTTCTACTTACTACATAGCCTATTCTTATACATCATCTATTTCCCTCGAGATGTACAGTCGTCGCCTTCAACCACCAAGCCAAGGCCGCAAGGCCCAACATACCGCACCGCCTTGATCGTAGGCGCTGTCTGTATCCTACACATATCCGTTATGCTTATAGCTACAATCACCATTGGACTCAAACGACCCGGCTCTCTGCAGTCCTGGTCCAACTTCTGCGGTATCTTAGCCGCGGTCCTTTCCTCAATTCAATACTTCCCTCAGATCTACACTACCGTCAAACTGCGCTGCGTTGGCAGTCTGAGCATCCCCATGATGTGTATACAGACACCAGGTGGCTTTGTTTGGGCTGCCAGTCTTGCGGCTAGATTGGGCGCAAAGGGATGGAGTACATGGGGTGTTTTGCTCATCACTGCGACTTTACAGGGTCTACTACTCGTACTGAGCGTTTTCTTCGAGTACCTGGGGCCGAACAAGGGACACAGTCATGGAGAGGACGGGTCAGTGGAGAATGATGAGCGCGATGAGCAAGAGTCGCGTCCCTCCGAAGAGACCCCCCTTCTTCAGAACCAATGATCGGCCCCTGTATGAAAGTAATTGGATAGCTTTCATACCATAGCTGCCCGTGTTATGATTTTTTGGATATTGTCCTTTTGGATCTTCAGTTTTTCAATGAGCAATGTAAGTATAAATGCGATTTGGAGCCTTGGGTACGATGCGATAGACCTTTCCTTTGCTTAGAATCGAGGCAACTCGTCCATTTTACTCTTGAACGCAACAGGAAGACAACAAGATAGGACAAAAACCTCAATAGACAATGTGATATGGTTTCAAGTCTAGCCAGTGTATAACAGGGAAAGGAACGTCCAATACCCACAGTACTACTCCGCTACTAGGAAATCGAACAAGTCATTCCCACAGCAGAAGAAGTAGCAGCAGAGCCGTTATCCCCTCATAATCGTAATCTTCATAAGCTACCTAACCTACAACATCGGCCTCCACGATTCCGCACTTAACCGTAAACCAGACGGAAGACGTCGTTGTAAACGAAGTAGCTTCCAGTTCCGTCAGGCAAAAGCTGGAAAGTCTGGGTGTAGTTCATGGGTCTCTGCTCCTCATCGACCTAAAAGCAAAAAGAAGCGGGGACAGGTTAGCAAATTAATCCAGACCCAACCGTCGGTGGATGGGAGAAACATACAAGCAGAGCACCAGTCACGAGGACAAGGATACCGCCATTCTCATTAGAAGGCTGGGCGTTAAGTGTGCCGACCTGGTGCTGCACCTTCTGGAAGGGAAGACCCTGTAACAAGCGATTCCCGTTAGCGCATTGCTATTGACTACCTGCTCTAGTGTGACTCACAGTCAACTTTTCAACGATACTGGTAACGCCCAGAATGGAGTCGGTCTCAAAAGTGAGCATGGAATTATCACGCTGTGATCCCGGCAAAAGGAATAATAAGTTAGTTTCCCCTGCTCTTGCGCTCAAGCCTTGCGCATAGCGGAAGACATACGTAGAGACCAGCCAGCTGCGCGCGATTTGCATCGAAGGTGTTGTAGTAGAACTGAACGAACTGCTCTGTTTGTTGCAGACGTTGTTAGAATTAGCCATGCGATATTTGTCTCCATTCCCGTTGTCCGTGTTGATAGGTGGGAGTCATGATCGTCGTTAAGCGCGTCTGTATCTGAGACGACAAGGTAAGAAGGAATATCACTCACCAGCGACGGTCTGGAAGTCTAGAAATTGAAAATTCATGTATTAGCTTTGTATGTATCCCCCATGTGCGTTACATGCCTGCGCTCCTCATCTTGGAGGGATCCATGAATTGAGGAGGGGCATTAATAAAAAGTGCAAAAGTAGGTTTATGAACTCGTAGTGAGATGGTAATTCCTGTAGCGCAAACATGACTTACCGGCCATTTTGACGGATTGGGGTGATGCGATGAGACAGGGTATTAGAATCAAAGGGTATAACGCTGGAATCGGGGATGGAGGGGGAGGAAAAGCCGGGACGATATCAACATCGAAAGTATTTCAGGTATTGTGGGGCTCTGGAATACAGTTTGGGCCCAATCATCGTGGCTGCCTCAGGCAGGGAACCCATGGCAACCAATGATGCCTCGGTGGTTGACTGCGACCCCATGGATGCGGGATTTTGTAAGGTTCCGCAGAGGTACATAACTACTCCTAGTACTAATAGTTCTATAACTTAGTATCACGTCGAAGCAAAGAGAATCCTCATATCCCTAGCGCCTCAACACGGCGGACTAGAAGTGGTATCAAACCAAGTAGTTACTACTACCTAATACTACATAGTGAATATTGTATTCATGACATGACATCTCACTCCGAATCGGAATCCGCAAACATATCTTCCGCCTTTGGTCGAGGTTTGCGAACTGGCCGTTGAGGCTCCGGTTGTGCTGAGAGCTCCGGCTGCTTCTCTGGTTGCCCTTTCGAGCCGCTTTCTTCCACGAGAGCGCTGTCTTCCTCCATAGGTTCACCATCCGGGACTTCCAAATCGCTGTCCTCCATTGGCTCTCCGTCAAGATCGCTCATCGGCTCCGCGTCGAATTCACTCCGGGGAGCAATATGTTCTTGGTCAATATCCATACGACTGCGGGCGGCTTCAGGAGGTCGGCCTGGGTCAAATTTCTGTGCCGCTGTGTCTTCTTCCACGGACTTCCAGCGATTTTTACTCTTGGAGAATGCATTGGCGGCTCGATCGGCTTCGGCCTTCTCCTTCTCCTCCCGTAGCTCTTCTTCCGTAAGCGGCGGTTTCTCGAAAACACCATAAAAGTGTTCCTGGCTCGACTGCGGGAAGACACACCAGCCTTCCCACAGATGCAAGAGAGTTCCGACACTTCGCTTCCATTTCTCTGCTTTCAGGCGACCCCAACTGTAGTCTTTTTCCAATCTTCCAAGGTGCTCGAAGACTTGGTGCGCTTTTAACGACGACTCGAACAATTGCCGATACCGCCAAGCATGCCGTACGCCGCTGGTAGCAGAAGAGGAGAGAATGTCGGAGATGAGATAGAGACCCACCAACTTCGCGGAAGATGTATCTAAATTGCCCTTGGACTGTGAGCGAGCTTCCTCTGCATCGTTGGAGACGTCTGCTGCCTGTTCTCGCCGAGCCGCGCCTTTTTCCATTTCACGGTCGGGGTTAGCGCCCGTATAAGCAAATGGTTCTTTTATATTCGAAACAATCATCTCCACAACCTCTTCTGCCCCTGCCCCTGCATGCCCAATAGCGAAAGCAGTAACACGCGCGACGTCGCCTTTCCGTAGCTTCGCGTGTGTCGTTGGGAGACGAGCGAGGAGATGAGTTAATTTAGCCTTCTGAAGTGGATTCATATAGCCTAGCCCATCGTTACTGGCACCCAGACCATCAGCGGGGGGCGCTCCACCATGTTGGCGCCTCTCATCTTCTACATCAGATAGATCCTCATCAGAAGAGTCGTAATCCTCGTCAGAGACAAACTCATCCATCTGAGTAGTGTATTCAAACTTGATATTACTCTCGGGAGGGGCCCAGTTAGCGCCGCCTTCGAAGATCAATAACGGATTCCTAGGTTTTCCTCGTTGATTCCCCCTCGAACAGCTGTTGGTGAGGACTTCCCATAATTTCCATCGGTAAAATACCCCTCCGGCACTTCTTGCGTCCCATATCCATGCCCATTTTTCTTCTCTTTGGACTTCTGGACGACTCATGAGAAGAGCTTCAAATTCCGGGCCATAGTTTAACAAGTTTTCCAGTGTTTTGTGTATTAGTCTCAATTGCTTTAGGTCTGCCGGTGCTTTCACTTCGACTTGGGTGTTGGGGCCGCTTCTACCAAAAGATGGCCCGTACGAAGCCGGGGGCGCGAAACCACCGCGATGCAAACCGGGCGGTGGAGCACGATTCAGTCTTCCTTGTACTTCAGGAGCAATCGATTTGGCACCAAAAGGAAGAGAGCTCGTGGATGATAAGCCAACAGTTACTGGTATCGTCGAGCTGATGGCAGCGGAGGATAGGTGCCTCGAGATCGACAGGTAGTATCCCCATCCTAAGTATTTGTTCTGAAGCGCGCTGACTGTACTGTCTATATCTGAGGCGGCAGATTCATTCGCGAGAGTCACGATGGCGGACATCGATTTCCGATCCGATGGTTGGCCAGAGGGACGCAGGAGCTTGACATTATCCACTGACAAAACTGACGGGATTAACGACTTAATCACAGACGGGGAAGTTCCAGGAGGTAGTGACGCCAAGTACAGCGTGGGCTTAGCTGCAGCACGCTCGGCTTCTTTCGTGTCAACAGTTGCATCCTCTTCATCATCCGAAGTGCGAAAAGCCGTAGCTGGCGAAGCCGTATTCTCAAAACTTAGCACTCCATGCGCAAGATCCCGGTTTCTATTTAACGGCTGAAACCCTTCATGCGTACGTTTTCGAGAAAGCGAGGGTGGCGGTGGTCCTAAAGTTCCAGGTCCGCTCATGCGCGGGCCGGAGCTGGTGAAATGCCGTTTTGCAGGGCCTCCCCCAAATGCAGAACCCTTGGGGTTAAATCTGTTTAGCCTTCCATCTGCAGACGGTCGATCTGGCGCGGGAGAGTCATCTTCGAATGACTTCACGAAGTCTTCGTAAACAGCAGCGGTTTCAGCTCGTTCTCGGGCACGTTTGGCTTCGGCTTCGGCTTTCTGGCGCTCGAAGAGTGATTTCTTAGGGAGGGCGGAGAGTTTTGCAGAGACATCTGGAAAGCCTTTAGGCTTCGTATCATCGGACATCGCGAGTCAGCTGCTATGCAGCGAATCTCTTGGTATAGCCCACGAGAACTATGGGGTTGAGGAGTGCTTAATGTTGGAGTCGCTGAAAGCTGTCGGGGCGGAGGCGGGAAGTCTGTTGCAGCCTGAGGCAGCGAGTAATGATGAACCTACGAAGTACAGATTGAGGTACTTGGCTTATGATTTACGTATCCATTGCTTGTCAACTCCCCTCACCTTTTTTTTTTCTTATCCCCCAACAGGGATGATTAAGTTATTTTTTTTTTTTAAAAAAAAATAATTTGCATACGACTAAATATATAGGCAGACTGTCATGGCGTCCCAGTTACCAGCTTTACTACGGTTCCTATCACAAGATGCCAAGATGCCTCTCGCAGCTGCTATGGGTAAGGTTATGGAGCTTCAGAAAGCCGGCCTTACATCGTATGAATGATTGCATCCCCATCCCTAGTGAGATGGAGTCTGTCTAATATTATCTTAGCCCTGAGCAAATCTCCAAGTCAGAGTTAAAGGCTCTCCAAGAGATCTTCCAAGACAATAAGTTGGCAAAGCAAGTGTGGAACGCAGCAAAGAAAGCTTCCAAAAAGCGCGAAGCTTCAACTGGGAGCACAGAATCTCCTCGAAAAAGGTCGAGAGGCTTGGATCGGAGAGATGATGCCACTCCTTTTGACACAGAATGTGCACTTTCTCTTCCAACCACCTCTGCGACCGAAGACGAATTGTCGAAGGTTATCCTACTCACGAACAGAGCACCTCTCGTGCTAGCTTTTGCTGTCTGTATTCTGAAGCATACTATGCCAGAGCAGCCGATCTCTAGCAGGCTTAGCCTCGCTCAGGCAGTTGTTAGCGCTAACAGTCGCTCAAAAGCTGCCAGTCTGGGTATCGAAACCGAGAACTCTGCTGACCAGGAAGGTTGGGGAGAAGGACAGCCCGTAGTCAGAGTCCTTGGAAGAGAAGTCAAGGTTCTTAAAAGGTGGGACTACAATCCTAGGGAAGGTAAGCCCGTGGGTGTGGCTAGCTCAGAACACGATGAAGATATCCACCACGCAGCCAATGATATGTTAGGCCAGGATGTTTCAGATTCAGATAACTTAAACGGCATGCCACCGTTATGGGGGATCGATATCGAGGCTTTGCGAAGCGCACATCGTGGTACCTCGATTGGGGCCTCCAACGCAAATGAACCTCTTCCAATTTTCACACCAGGTGCTGCGCGATCATATTTATTTAAGTCATTCACAGAAGCATCAAAGGACAATAATCCAGCATCAGATAGGCCGAACCAGAAGCGTCTCTCACAAACAAACACCGAGAAAGAGACATGTTTGGGAAATCTACTGCGGGCTATTGACTTGGTATGCCAATCTTGGGCTCCGTTTCTCAACGGAGAGGAGTTGGATCAACGAGCATGGGCCTGGTATACACACGTCAGGCCTGCTGTCCAAAGCGGAGTAGCAGGCTGGGGAGAGAAAGGCCGTGTAAAGTTATCTGACATTCTCGCTTTGAGAAGACAGCCATGATTGCGAGTCCGACTGTTCGAGACTTTACCGTCAAACAGTTACAAGATTGCCGCGCCAATCAACAACAGAATCCAGTTCATGAACCTAGAACACTGACGGACTTCATGCTTCTGCTCCACTTAGCATCGGATGTCCCAGGATCCTTCTGCACGACTGGTGTTATCCAACGTCTACTGTGTTCTAGAAGCTCGGTATTTGGATAAGGCAACCGTTGTGTGGGTCAACCGATGTCGCTATGAGTGGAATCTTGTCACAGGCACCAGTTCTGCTAGACCGAAGACTGCCATTGCCGATGAGAATTCACCGTCAGATTGATAGCACAAAACGCTTTCCTTCCACGTGTGGCGCGTGGGCATATACTACTAGCATTCAGATTCTGACCACACGATGGTACAATATAGTGGGGGTGAATGCATGTAGCAATTCGTCTGTCTCGGACAATACATGTAATATTTCTCTAGTATACCTCAGGACTCCATCGGGTGTCTGTTGGGGACGGAGTTGAATCGTTAGTGGAATGATCATTAAGCAAGACCCATACATTAGTGGAATTGACAGGATGAATTAGTTCTCTGACAGGATATGCTTAACATATTGAAGGCTTATAATTCGTTACCCATCGTCCTTTTCTTTTCTTTTCTTTTCTTTTTTTTTTTTTT